GTCTTAAATCTAAAATAATACAATATATGAACATGGGATTTGTACTCAAATATTACCTATCCATTACTTAATTATAATATTTAACTATTTTAATGAAGTAAATAACTTTGTTTTCGATTATACTGAACAGATTATAATGCCAAGGAAAACTAAGAAGGAGAATCTTTTCCATCACCCTCATCATCGTCTGCTGAGCTAGCTTGTTTCTGAATATGGTTCATACTGTGTTTGTGTTCAGTGCAGTTGATCCTTACACTGAACGTGTCCACTTCATAATACAAGGGTTAGAAGTTTCAAGGGCACCCAACATCAATTTTCGGGAAAATATCTGGTCAGAAGACAATTTGAGTTCTAGAATTTTCAGAACATTTGTTGTAAAATTTCTTGCTTGCCTGCCTCTCCTAGGATTTTCGAACATCTAAAAAAATGTATAATTGCCTATTTTTAACCTATTTTTACCCTAAAAAGGTCACCTAGAATTTTCGGAAACCTTTTTTCTGGCTGAATTCTCGAAAAGGTAAGTTTTGATCCCTATATTTTTTGGATCACAAGACTCTCAGCAAGGAAATCCAAACAGATGAAAAATTCTTAGGGGATAAAAATATGCCTATATCTACCATTCAAATACTAAAACACATTTAACAATGCTATGTTTAAGTGGTTTTGAACTATATTCTCGTTGGGTGCCCCTGAAGTTTGGGGATATACTGTTTAAATATTATATCTACTGAGAAAAAAGAATTTCTGGAAATTGACCACCGTTGACATTTGTATTGTTGCTGTCTTCCCTGTATACGGAAGAAAATGTAAACGTAACACTGGACGCTTTCACAGTACCCAGCCCGTTATCTCCTTTTCCAGACCATGGACCTGATATCAACGCTTCAACAAGATAACTTGTGTTGTTTTTTAACACAGCTGCTGAGTCGAACATGACTTCAAATCCATGATAACTAAAACGTTTGGAGTGCAAAAGTTTTGGATAATATGTTCCAGATTTGGATACTACAGTTGTTCTACTACCAGTATCCGTAACTTTCAGTGTTACTGTGTAGCTGTTATTTTCACTGCCAAATAAGCGGAGTCCATGCAATGTAATGTTCTTGTCTACAGAAAAGCAGAGCAAATCACTGCGCTCTCCATGGTAATTCCACGATGTCGGAGTACATGTGGGAAACCTGCAGCTGGTTATGCAATCTGCAGCATGGGTCAATTTCCCCCGCGGAGTCTTGGAAAACGCGACAAGGGTGGGCGAAGTTGGTACTACAAAGTACTTAAACAAGGTGACTACTTCATCTGAAGTTAGAATGTTCGTATCAACCACGTTGACAACAAACTCCTCTCCTGTCATAACCGGGAAGCGCAAGGCTTTTATCATTTCTTCGCCGAGGATTCGTCTTTTAATTGGACCATCTTCTGCCAAACCTTGCTTTTCGCATTGTGTTGTTGCCCATCGATCTACAGCTTGAAACAAGGAGACCTCTTTGATCGACAAATTATCTCTTGCGACAACTTCCTCAAGTAAGGATCTGCCAATTGTCTCAAATCCTTCCGATTCGACAGCCGCTTCCGTCTGATTCTCAATCACTTTCCAGCATCGATCGACCAACGATTTCTCCTCATATTTTTGTGCCCATGGAAGAATGCTGAAAGCATTCAGAGAGTTTATCTTTTCATTCAGATAATCCATGCATTTGTCGGCGAGTGAAGGCACAATGTATTTCTTTGCTAAGTACAGCACTGCCATCACATTACTTCCACTCAAATTCACTTCATCGCTGTAAATGTAGCGAAACAACTCCAACAGACTCTCGTAATCACAGTCAGGCAGTTCAATAGTGTCTTTAGTCTCCGCCAGTTCACCGTAAAACATGGCTTCAAACACGGGACTGCCAATCGCCAGTATGAATTTGTGAGCTGGAATCACTTGTTTACTTTCGCCATTGCTGTTTGCAGCAACAAACTTGACATCGCTCAAGTGATCGTTGTCGAGCAGAAATGTAACTCTTCCTGTTACACTGGGTCTTGTTGTTTGCCAGGTTGTTTCGATGAACATATTCGTTCACTGATACTGTTGCAGAACGTCAAACTGCCTCGATTTTTCGCAATCACTGTTATACTGACCAGAAGTTTATCATGCTCTTATTTATTTATGTTTGGGTATTCAGATGTCCAATCAGAAGCACGAAATACTTTTGCCCAAATATGGGGTCTTTCTACAGGTGCAACGTTCAAGGGTAACGTCATCACTAAAGAAACAAACAAACGAAACAGTAGAGTTCACCTGGTGGCTTTATTGTTCGTTTGTTGTAGAGTTTCTTTTGTGTTACGCAATCTGTGCCTCGGTAACCTACAGCCCTACAGAAGGAACCAAATATGGAATAAGAGAATTGAAGGGCATCCAAAGGCATCCCCGTCTAAAAAATAGCCAATGACGAATTTTTCAAGCCCGGTTCTCAAAGAACATCCACCACTTAAAAAAAGAAAACCTTTGTTATATAACATAATCAACGAACAAAAACATGCATGTTTGCAGGTAGCCCGATTCTCAGACGTCCGAGGTCGTTCGCGGTCCCTTCGCTTCCCTCCCTCTAGTTCAGCAGGTAGGTAGCGGAGCCGACGAGAGTTGACGAGTGTTTTGTGAACCGGTGTGTACGAATAATTTTCTTGTGAATATTTTCCGTGAAGAGAGAATAAAAAACTCTTCGTGCTCGATATTAAAGTAGCGTTCCGTCTCACCGTTGATTGCAAATAATGCTATATGTCCAGTTATTCTGAACGGACTTCGTGTGTTGCTCTTAATTGTAGGGAGCTTAAGCAACAGCGTTTTTGAGCGACCGACGTCAACCGGAAGTGGACTTTTAACATCATTGGGCAATGGTTTGGTTCAAACTCTCGGGTAAATCGTCTTTATAAGAGAAAAGAAACTTAGCAATACAAATTTGCTGGCGTTAAGGCATATAAAAAGGGAGAAGGCCTCACTTCCGGTTGACGTGCGTCGTTCTAAAAAGGCCTTTGCTTAAGTTCCCTAATTAAGATACTATCAGGTAAAAAAAAAGAGCCATAATGGGCTCTTGTTAAAAAATAAGCTAAGGTTGCGTAATTTTGACGCAAACTCTTTTGAGCACACCAAGTTAAGCCAGGTCCGCGAGTAGTAGGCTTTTTCTTGTCCGGAATAAGTCAATCCGGTTCATTTTGGATTCCGATCATGGTGGAATTTTTCCTCGTGAACTGTTCATTATATTTTCGTGACAGTCTCGCGTATCAGTGGCCTTCCACCCAAATGTTCGTGAAGCTTCGTCACGCGTTCCTTTTCCCGTTGGGGTGGGGGGGGGGGACAGGGGGGCGGGGGGGGGGGGCGGCGGGGGTAGAAGCCCTAAAAGAACGCCTGCGTGGGAGGCTAGCGTATCAGTGATTCCATATTAGGAAGTACATCGGTTCTCCAAAAAGCGTCACCCCAGCATTCGACCTTTTAATACCTGAGCGTATACGCTAGGGGTCTCAGCAAATGAACTCAACTGTTTTCAAAAATCGATTAACTCCCTCGGTTTTAAGGATAGTCAGAACAGAACAGACCCATTTGCCACGAGAGATCCATCACAACTTCATCCCTTCATCCCTTAGTCCCTTATAACTTTATCGGCGCTTTTTAATTACGAGTGTATTTTGGTCCACAACTTTCAAAACAGCCGCTCCATAGAATGTCACTGATAATACCTAACGCAAAAAGAGTATCGAAGTACACTGTATGACTGTACAGTGAATTTCAGAAAATCTACCTAAGCGGTCCCTTCGGGATTTTCTGTTTTACGTCATCCTACATGGACGGCGGAGCGTATTTTTAACTGGGGTAGGGGGCAGGGGCTTAAAAAAAATTGAAGTCCTAAGGCTCAACATTCTCCATGGAATATTTCTTGAAAAAAAGCTAAAACCTGGATAATTTATAAAGTGTAAACCGACAAGCACTTCTAGTGCTTACAGTAATATCATGGAGGTTTTGTAAACTTGATACATATTTCTCAGCCTTCCATCACAGGTAGCCCAAACTCGAAATATGAACATCGGCGAACATCGGCATTGTCCCGTAACATTCGAAATATAAGGATTTGTATCGGACAAAAACCTATCGTTTCTGTTACCTACGAAAATGAAAGGAGTTCAATAAAAAACAGCTTACCTTACCTAAAATGTGTGTTACGTCTCCCCTGTGTGGTTCACGGGCCGATTTATGGCCGTTTCATGGGTTTTTATGAAAACGGCTTTCCCTCTATATAAAGGTGTTAGCCGTTTATACTCAGAAAAGTCCATACAAACCCTTCTAATTTTTATGGGTCGACCCAAAAAAATTTAGAAGGGTTTGTATGGAGTTTTCTAAGTATAACTGGGCTACGATCTCAGAGACAATTTGCCCCAAAATGCTCATTTTTGGCAAGTAGGCCTCTTGGACATTGTTCTTTCAGAATATCTTGACAAATCCCATGATTTTTATGACGTCACACTTAAGTACTCTATTGAAGCCCAATGTTGGAACTTTAAGTTCTGGATAACCTTAATCAAAAATGAAGACAAATTATCCCAAATAGCATTCACACTGCATTAACTGGAATGAAAATAAAGCTTTCTGGAGCAAGAAACTCAAAAGCTTATTGGAACAGATAGGGGTAGGAGAACTCTGGATGAAAGCACACTATGCAAACATAGGAATCATAAACATTATCAGGCAACAACTTCAGGATATTGAACTACAAAGATGGCCGAGTGAAATAAATAAGGACACTAGAAAAGATGCTAACCAAAGCAACAAAATGAGAACCTATTAGACCACTAGTTGGATTTTTCTAATACCCACACCTTTTCACAAAAGCTAACCAACTACAAAGGTTTCTCACAACACCAAGAAATACCCACTACTTCTACAATGTACCTTAACAGTCTACTGGTATAGCATAAATCCTATATGAAGTCAATATCCAAGGAAGGAAAGAGAGTAAAACATATTATCTATAAACTTGGTCTAAGAGATTTTGCCAAGTGGGGTACAATTCTCATGTAAAATTATTATTATTTTTTAGGGGGCGGGGAAAGGTTTGTTACATCACAGTTTCCTAAAAGCCCCCCCCCCCGGGACATAATAAACGATTACTCCCTAACCACTGCAAGTCTTAACCTGACTTATTTTCCTGATTTATTTGATTGTCCTACTGTAGTCAGGTCTAGTCAATCCCTGCGATTGGTGCGAGGTACTAAAAAACTAAGTAGAAAACATAATGTCTGCAAACTGACCTCCATCAAGGCTTGTAAAGTTGCGAAAATTAGAAGCTACAGAAGAAAATGTAAACTTAACACTGGACTCATTCACAGTACGCAGCCCGCTCTTTCCAAATTCAGAACTTCGACTGAATATTGACGCATCGACACGATACGTAGTGTTCTTCTTTAACAAAGCTACAGAGTCGAACATAACTTCAAATCCGTGGTAACTAAAATGTTTACAATGCAATAGTTTTGAAAAATATGTTCCTGATTTGGATATCAACAACGTATTACTAACAGGATCCATAACTTGCAAGGTTATTGTGTCGCTGTCATTTTCACTGCCAAATAAGCAGATTCCATGTAAAGTAATGTTCTTGTCTACAGAAAAACAAATACGATGTCTCCTTTCTTCATTGGATAACCACCTGTGGACAGTATATGTGGGAAATCTGCAGCAGTGGATGAAATCTGCGGAACGTAATCGCCGCCTTGGAGTGTTAGAAAACCCAACAAACCCACCAGTGGTATGTAGAGTAAAACACTTAAACAAGCTGATTATTTCACTTGAAGTTAGAATGTTTGTATCAACGACGATAGCAGCAAACTCCTCTCCCTTCATAACCGGGAAGCGTATCGCCTTTACCACCTCTTCGCCGAGAACTCGTCTTTTCATTGGACCATCTGCTGCCAAACCTTGCTTTTCGCATTGTTTGGTTGCCCATCGATCTACAGCTTGAAACAAGGAGACTTCTTTGATCGCCAGAATCTCTACTTACGACTACTTGCTTAAGTACGGACTTCTGAATTTTCTCAAATCCTTCCGATGTTACAGCCGCTTCGGTTTGACTCTCAATCACTTTCCAGCAACGATCTTCCAGGGCTTTCTCTTCATATTTCTGTGCAAATGACAGGATATCGAAAACATTCGACGGATCTATCTTTTCTTTCAGATATTCTGTGCATTTATCAGCCAGTGAAGGCACAATGTATTTCTTTGCCAAGTATAACACTCCCATCACATTACTTCCGCTTAAATTCACTCCATCGCTGTACATGTATCGAAATAACTCCAACAGACTGTCGTAATCACAGTCAGGCAGTTCAATAGTGTCTCTTTTCTCCGCCAGTTCACCGTAAAACATGGCTTCAAACACAGGACTGCCCATCGCCAGTATGAATCTGTGAGCTGGAATTACTTGCGTACTTTCGCTTTTGCCATCACCGTTTCGAACGACAAACTTGACATCGCTCAAGCGATCGTTGTTGAACAGAAACTTGACTCTTTCTCTAACACTGGGTCTTGCTGTTTGCCAGTTTGTTTCGATGGACATATTCGTTCACTGAGACTGATGTTAACTGCCACACTATCTCGATTTATCGCCGATCACTCTGACCGACTGACCAACAAGTCAAATGGTCAAACATGTGAATTTCGAGCACAGTCCCCACTCGCCCAAAAGGTATAAAAATAGTCACGCGATCCGTCACACAATCACGCTATGGCTTTCAAGAGGTCACGGAGCACATACGTGCGAAAAAAAGGGTGCAAAGGATACTAGTTAGCAGAGACATTATCAATACTACGGAAATGTACAAGAAAATTATCATACTTTCATTTACAAATTCAAACCCAAAAGCTTGTCTTCGCCTTTTTTACTGATGGACCTGATCAATGCATCTCTTATGGCTCTTGACCTGCTCCATGTATTTTTCTTGATGAAAATAAATAAACAGACAGTAATGTAGACGTTGCTTTTTATTACAAAAAGGTGAAAACAATACAAAATATATTTCATTCTATTTACAATGGAATATACCTTTCTACACTGACCCAAGTGAGGCTAATCCAGTTAGTTCACAAACTATATTTTTAGATGAAGCCTCAGAGGATACAGAAAAACGAACAAGTTTCGACCTTGCGGTAAATAATGAAGCTAACCAGTAAGTTACCGTCTACTATTCATGACCATGGATAGTATTTTATGCGCCAATCTTACAATTAATAGTTAGGTGAAAAGAAACTGTAGTCGAAGCACCCTTAAAGGATACTACGCCAACGAATGATGACAATAATGAAACTTGGGATTTAAGGCCGGACGCAATATGGTAACGTGTTCCCGCGAATCCTTTGAATCAGCTTAAAAGCAAGAACACATTAAACAACGCGTCAAAGAGTCTGGAGGTTAAGACCTTTAAGAGGACTACGCAACTTATTCAAAAGCGTGGTCCTGAGGAGGACGTACTTTTCAAGAGATATAAGTTCTAACGCAAGTTATATAACTTAAACCTCGCTTCCCGAATCAGTTTACAATGACAAGTAAGACCACGAGAACGTTAAGAGTGCTCTGACATTCTTGTAATGGGCTATTACGTACCCCCCGGTTGAGGACTTAAGTTTTTGTCTTATCCCTAAAGACTCCCATAAAATATGGGTTTACCCCTGAAGAATTTGGTGTAAATTAAAGCTTCACCCCCAAAGAATTCCATATTTTTTACTCTACCCCTAAAAAAATGCAATAGCCGAATATAAAGATCACTTTCCGAAAAAATTACCGCATGAATGCCACATTTTTACGAGCTTCTTCATTATTTTTGCGGGCAGCCAATCTTAAATTTTTCCTTGTGATATTTTTGCTTCAAAAAACAGAATTAGAATGGTCAAACACGGACAACGTTCTGAAACGTGCAGAACCTCCTGCAGCAAGAATGACTGAATACGCTCTCCTAAAATATATAACCCAATAATTTCTTTACATTTGGTTCTACAATCTATCTGCCTCAGTTGAACCGTTGGAAAGCTGTTGGAATTCTCCACATTGTATTAGATGGGAGAAACAAACGCCTGGTGAATAGGCGGCTGGAAGCAGCGAACATGTTCAACCGGTCCTTCAGAAGTCTTCAGATGCTTGTTCAACACTGCGAATATTTGGTCATTCAGTACTCTGAAGTGACGTGCTCTGCTTACTAGGCGCTTAAGATCCTGCAAAGGAAACAACTGGATTAGAAAACTAACATTCTTGAAAACCTATCAGGTGTTGCTGTCTGTTTTCTGCCTGCCTGCGATCAAGCACTCCATATTGAAGGAGTCCCGAGGTGCCAGAGGGGAGCAGGATCCCCCCAAACAAAAATTTGAGTAGGGGTATGCACATGGCACAGTGAAAGATGAGCCCCCCGCCCCCAACGTTTCAAAACGCTCTGTCGCCTTTAGGTGCTCGCAGCTTCATTAGACTGTCAAACCTCCAAAGAAAGACGCGTAGTGTCCTGACAAAGGTACCGTATTTATTCGATTAACCGCCCTGGGCGCTTATTAAATTTTTGGACCTTGAGAGTGGGCGCTTATTCGAGGTGGGCGCTTATTCGAGGCTGGGCGCTTATTAAATTTTCACCATTATCAGCAAGTGAAGTATGTTTATTTTGCAACAAAACAATCAATGCTAATAACAAAATGCGAAGAAGTAACAAAGCAAGGTTTCTGTAAAATACTCTGAAGAAAACTCCGTCCTCGGGGAAGTCTCTTATTGGAATTTATTCACTCAAGTGGGTGGGGTGGGGGTGAGCGCTTATTTGAGTTTGATTGGGAGGAGGAGGGGTGGGCGCTTAATCGAGGCTGGGCGCTTATTAACTTTTTCTGCCTTTAGGATGGGCGCTTATTCGAGGTGGGCGCTAATTCGAGGTTGGGCGCTTATTCGAATAAATACGGTATTTGTTAGGGCGATGGCGTGGCCAAATCATTAGGGTACTAAATTTTACCTACTGGTAATGAATTTTTAAAATAAGATTCTTCAGAACGATGACTTTTACTTTAATAAGAATTTTAATGAGGGGTAGCTAGTTTAAATTTTGACATCTTGCAACTCCGCACCTTCCTCTCTCCCACTGTACAAAAAGTTCAGCATCGTGTGAGGAATCAACAACCTCTTTCGTTCTTGTTGGTTTAGGCTAAATAATTTTTGTTTTAGAATTGTTACAAGTACATGTACTGACCACTCCACCGATGACTTCATCCCTTGCGTCCACTGCATAAACTTTGACGATATGATAGCAAAAGTCTAACGCTTCGAAGCGATTCTCCTGTCCTAGTAAAGCGATGAGTGTGCAACCGGCCCAGTTGAGGCCTTCGCCGAAACACTGCCTGTGGGCAAGATAAAGCAAATCAAATAAACACCAATCTTCTGACCAAAACTGGCCAAAAGAAAAGATCTCTCACGAATGGAAATAAATTAATGGTACAATGCATTTGAATGGTCCATCCACAGACTAGAATGTTTAAAGTAAAAAGTGAATAAATAGTACCACTTGAAAATACTGTAAAAGAAGTTTCATTTGATTGGCCACCCGCGTGTGGGAAGTCACACCATAGTGCGATCAAACATTCACCTGAAACCTCTTCAGCAACAGTATTACACTTGTTTTGGGGCAGAGCGAAACCCCCTGACTAAGAGCCTGTTTACATGGAGGTGGAGGACCCCAGGTAAGTGAGGTAAACCGCGGCGGGTTACCCCACCTATCGTGTAAACGGGATCAAATTAAAATGAGAGATTACATGGACAGGCGGGTTACCCCGCCTAAGTGGGTTCCCTAACCTACAGTACTTGGGGTCTCCCACCTCCATGTAAACAGGCCCTAAGAACCTGGGTTTTAAGAACCTGTTAGGCTAAAATTTGCCTCGTAAGCACCCTCTATAAAAGAACCTGTTTAGCCTAAAATTTGAAACAGGTTCTTATTTTCAAAAATTCTATACACTTAGGCAAGTAGGATAAGTCAATATTCAGAATATGTCCAGCGCTTGACACACAAAGATGCAATACCCACTTATACACCCTAGCACCACGCGGGATAGACTGCGAGCAGTCTCTTATTTTTCTTTGCAAAGTTACTGCACACGAAACCCAAGCAAGCCGAAGCCGTGAGCCGCGATAAACGAGGGCGTAAGAACTAGACGTATTTTAAGAGAAAGGTGGACTGCAAGCAGACTACACGCGGGAGGGATAGGAGGCGACAAAAGGGGAGGACTTCACTCACCCTAACATTTTTCCAACTGGAAAAACTGTTGCTACTTACTCGACAGTGAGTTCGTTTTGTCTTAAAGGCTGACAGTAATTGAACTGAATCGCGCTCCAAAGGCGGTGGAACTCTCTGCACTCATCAACATTCATCACACCGTTAGCGGGTGGTGTCTCTTTCCAAATTTCATGAACTAAGAATGATTTAATCCTCTTAAGAACCACTTCAAAAATGGACAGTCCACAGCAGAGTCGCTCTTTCGTCAACAAATCGCCTTCTTGGCCGTTGTTTATTTGCTGCAAAAGGGAACAGATTTCGTATTACTTAAAGAGGCTACGCCACGAGAATATTGCCTTAATAGGGTCAATTCTGGGATCATTATTCGTTTCTGGGAAACTGCCCACCAACCCCTCCCCTAACCCAACATGTTGCCCTAAGTGGGAAGTAAGTGTTAATGTTGGCTTATGGGAGGGGTAGGTGGGAAGTTTCCCAGAAACGTATAATTAAGACGTCATCCCTTAGTAGTGCAGCCATTTCCTGTACACAAATAATGTTTCTTTGTTGGAGGACATCATTCAAATTTCATCAGGAAACACTAACAATGATTATAATTATGTTTTAGGTCTTTTTTGCAGACATAGCATTAAAACTTGAAAACGTTGGCCCAATTTTTTTAAAGCTTTAATCCATGTCCATCCTTGCCATGCGTAGTAACCTACAGCGGACAGAAAACAAGTTCAATGCCAAAATGTAGTGTTAACAAAACTGACTGGAGCATTATTTTTGAAATTTAAGTATTAATGTGAAGACAAGCTTTTTAACAAGCATGACATAATAATTCAAAACCTCTTTAGTTCCAAGCTTGGTGATGATGGACAAAACTTGTAATGAGTTGTACTGCGTCTCCAGTTTCTTCATTTTGCCGTCCAGTTTTTCCCCCTCTACAAAAATAAATGGTTGCAAATAGTTGCTTTTACCGACGACAACCTTAGATATAGTTCAAATTCAAGATAATCATCAACCAAGATACAGTAAAATGCCTTGTTTCGTAACTAAATTCTTTTTACTGAATAGCAAGAGAACTTGCGAGTTGATAGTAGTGCTTAAAGGAATAAAGATAAAACAGTAACAAAATCCTTTGAAAAATACACCGGAACTCCGGCTTATTTTTTTTGAATTTCAAGGACGTGAATCAGAATGGGGTAATTTATCCAGTGAAAAGCGCTACACAACTTTTGCGCATACCTAGCCTACGTAGCAAGCGTTTCCGTGCGGTTTAGGAGCAAAGAACGAGGAGCGAGAGTCAAAGACCGCGCGAAAAATGGCGCTTTGGCTCTCGTTTCATTTCTCGCGCGGCCAAAACCGATAATCACGTTCCTTGGTCTTTCATCGCTCCGAAACCAAACAGAAACACTTTCTACGCAGGCTAACGCATACCGTCCCTAAACTCCCGCTTATTAGCCCCAACCCTTTCCCAGTTATACGCCCATCTACCTGTAAACAAAAAAATACATCCGATTATAAGCCCCTCCCCACCCCTCTTGATAAAAGTCTGCTCTCGCTTGTGTTGAAATGAATTCGATTTATTATGACGTTTTGAAGCTTTATTAAAAACCAGCAAATGCAAAACGTATTTTGATCAGCACTGCTATAGCCTGTTTCTAAGCACTTTTACTATTCCGGATATAAGTCCCCTAGGATATAAGCCTCTCTGTTTATAAGCCTTCCTAACACCCCTTACGAAGATGTATAACCCAAGGCTTCTTATAAGCGGCAATTTACGGAGTGAGACTCGACCGCCATATTGTTTCATGTTAGGTGCCTTTGGTGAGATGTCCAATAATTTATTAGCAGTACGTTTAAGATACGGTCTGGGGATAATTCCTTGGAAGGGTGCAGCATGAAGCAGATCCATGATCTCCTCCTGAGACTAAAATGAGAAAAAAAAAATGAAACGTTACGGAAACATTCACAGGGTTCTCTGAGCAGTCGTCGCAAGAAGTAAGAAAACGTCCCTGCTATGTTAGGTTAGGGCTGTGGATCAGCCTAAGGAAAGCGATACTGGGATCAATTAAGGTTTCTGGGAAACTACCCAGCTACCCCTCCCCTAAGCTAACATTAACACTTACTTCTCACTTAGGGCAAAATGTTGGCTTAAGGGAGGGGTAGGTGCACAGTTTCTCCTGTGACCGCTGGGGCTAGGGTTATTGTATGTTGACATCTACGTTATGAATGTAATGTAGGCGACGAGTAGTCCCTTACTTCCTCTGGGACAGTAGAGCGAGCAAGATACGCGAGCGCACATGGAAATCGCCACCCGCGAGAAAGGAGATGCAAGGAGAGATGAGAGAAAATCCTTCCTCCGCTTCTCGCCACACTTTGCGCGCGGCAATTTTCTCGCGCGCTGACGCATTCCGCTTGCTCCTCAATCCCTGAGGGAATGAGGGACTACTCGCAGTCTAAATGTAAGGTTTCTTACCAAGAAACTCTCCAGTTGTAAGCAGAATAGGATGGCATTGCCGATTTCTCTGAATCCCTGAAATACGTCTGTTCTGAGGTATGGATACTGCATAATCGGCTCAAGACTGGCGTGGTAATATTCAAGGACACCTGATAAAAGGGTAGAAAAACTGTTTCACTAAACTCCATCTATGCAATACCAGCTTGTAGGAGAAATAAAACTAAATAACAGCGCACTGCCTGGAAAACATGTTAACATGATCGCACTCTAGGTGCTAACTACATAAAAAGAGCAAAAGCTGGCCCATTTGTCGAGGTGAGATTACGTACTGTAAAACATTTTGCGTAACATCAAACGGTAACACGCCGGCAGTTAGACTCGCTGAGCGTGGGCTGTATTCATGACAAAAACTGAAAAACTAGCCTGCGAATACAGTTGTCTAAACTTGGTCCTCTTCCTAGCAGCAAGGAGAGACAAAACGTGGACGAGAAATTTTTATTTCAATATTGGTATTTTGCCTCCCGCTATTTGGGGTTTTCAATTTCCATTTGGATAAGTTGTTTCCAACTATCTATATAGCTCTTTTAAGTTAAGTGCACTTCCACTATGAGCAAACTATTTATAAATTTCATCAATTTGAAATGAGATGTTCCGTAGGATAAGGAATATTCCTAGGAAATTCTTAACAACGTAGTATAGGTACCTGTGGAGCCGTACTCGAAGCGAGGAAGACCGCATTTTTTAGGCATTCCTTCGATGAGCTGGGCTATGTATTGCTGTAACTGGCCATGGAGCTGTGAACAGAGAGAAAGTTAGCTTAAGTTACATTATGAAACACAAGCCTTATCACTACAGATTCTGATGCCACGGAACTCCCTATCCCCCAGTCCCCCCTCCCACAACTTGAAACCGTTGCACTATTCAGCTCCTTACATGTTGCGTGAAATGATCAACAAATGACGCAAGACTAAAGATCCATAACACAAAGAACCAAAACACAAACAACAATACCCATGCTACCACATAACTACATTACTACCAACAATACTTGGAGTTCCGTAAAACCAAGAAGTATCCAAAACGCTTTCAGTCTTGGAGTCGTTGAAACCTAAAACATAAACAGCTTTCACTTCACATTCCGGCAAAGAGGAAACAACTTTAATGTGACTTAACCTTGCTGTTGTACGTTCCAGCACCAAAAGCACGTTTCTTACTTGGACAAGAACTTGGCACATGCTGAAACGCAATCCCTACAGACAACTCACAAACCACATCCATAAGGAGTCAGACTCGCACGTCATCAAGCCATCTACCTTGCAGCCGAGGGAAATCTATGCGACGGTCGATCGCGCAAAGTATTTTTTTCGGAGTCACTGTTGTCGCTATCATTTGTTATATTTTAGAGTTGTGAGTATAAATTGCAAAGCACTTGTTCATCGTCTAAACAGAAAAAAAGTGAGTTTTGTTTACCTTGGGGCAACCTGTCACTTAGCGCTTTTAGCCAAGTACCAGGAAGTACAAAGTTTTCACTACATACCACACTCTTGATGATCTTGAGAAGCTCCTCGATAACCACAGCTATTCCCTGGTAACCCAGTAGACGAGCCATGCAAGCAAAATGGATGTCACCAACAAAGTTACTGTACAGCGAACCAATGGCGTTAAAGAGTGAGTTCTGAAGCTGGAATAGAAAAAAGACATCAATGAACTCTGACTGATTCCAGCAAACAGCAAAGTTCGTGCAGCCAAATGTAAAGCATCTTCGAGCAAGTCCCTCATACAGTCCTCTATGGTGTGATTATTATCAGAGTCGGATCCAGACCTTGAGATAAGAGGGTGGGGGGAGGGGCGGCCAGCGATAAGGCCGGTCTCCCCCCCCCCCAACCAATTTTTTCCGCCCTTTGGGCGTCAGTTCGGTCCAAAAATAAGGGGCGGGGGGGAGGGCAGCTCCCCGGGCCCCTCCCATGGATCCGCCACTGATTATTAAAAATTTCGACCCTTCTCGCCATAGAGGTTCCAGTAGGTCAGTGATTAGATCTCGGACTGGGAAGGACGTGAGTTCGATTCTCCCCTGGAGCTAAGAGTTTTTCTGAGCTTTCTTGTGTCTGTCTCTAAATTATTCAGTGGAAAAACATCGTGTTTACCTTTGTACCAAAGAAAAAATGATGAGCTTGCTTTGGAGCTTGTTCTCTGGAAACTTTGTCCACTAAAGGGAGAGACGTGGGAACGAATCTGCAAGAAACAAAAGGGAAAGTAAACACGGCGTTCAATGCGGTTTACATAAAATCAACCCAAATTTGCGCGAAACTAAAGAAACTGTCAGTGGTAAAACAAACTGATTCTCAGGCCCTTCTCAGGGATTAGGGGAGAGGAGTTTTTTTGGATAAACTTTTCTTAATTCAGTGAGGTGTAATTCCATATCAAAATGTGCACGGTTTTCCAGGTTGTATCTCTACTGGTGCTTCAGGTTTCTTCTTTTTTGTTTTTATTTGCAAATCTGTTTGCAGTTTTTAATTTCTCCTGAAGATATGGAGAATCCACACAAATAAACCCTTGACCTGTTTATGGGGGAAGGCATGATTGGTGAATTGGCCTTTATACACCTGGACAGTCACGTGGTACAGAAATGAAACAGTAAAACAAATTCATCACCGACCTGTTTGTAGATGAGTTGTAGCAATAGTTGGGAAGAAAATCAAAGTTAAGTTCCCAGAACACGTGAAGAGTGATCCTGCCGTAAGGTGCTGATACTGAGTGATTGGCCTCGCCCAGCATATTCTTAAATGGAATTAACTTCACGCACTTGGACAACAGCTGATGAGTCATGCGGTTCACTTCAAGTAAATTCTCCAAATCCTGATGCAGCAACAAGCAAACAACAAACTTTATTACAGCATGAATTTAGAAGGAGAGAAATGTCTACCGACAAGTAGAGCAATAGCTAAACGAGGTGGGAAGTTAGAACAAGATGTATGGTGCCAAATACAAGAAATTACATAGTTACAAGTTACAACTACATATATGGCGCGTAACAGAAGGAGAGGGAGAATGAAATCTTAGTTTTTGCACTAGATGTAAAGATGGGAACCTCATATTTCTATATAAGGTTACAGCTTTAGAGCTTCCTACATCCTTGTCATACAAAAGGCATGCACGTCCATCACTCAGCAAGTCAAAAAGCCAATTATTCAGGCAGAAAGCTTGCCCGTTGCTCAGTCAGGTAAGTCAGCTGACAGCTAGCCAGCAAGTCAGCCAGGTAGGCAGTCAGTCAGTCAGTCAGTCACTCTTGAAAAATTAAAATATTGTAATGTACTATATCATGACTGCTGACTTGAAGTAAGACACTACAAATACTTCTGAAGTTCAAGTCCAAGAAAAGGTAAGTAAGACAAGAGGCTGTGGGAGCGTATATTTGGGCGTAGTCGTACAACGGGTATGATACTTTGAACATCCCTTATTGCAGCTTAACAACTGTCATCATATCTTACCAGAGAAGATAAACCCTTTACTCCACTTGTTTGCTGAACCACACAGCTTATACAGTATGTCCCAATCCAAAACAAAAATCGTGTCATTTCATGACAATGTTTGAAAATATGCACATCTTCAATGCAGACATGCTTGGATCCAAATTGCAAGATAGGACATAAGTGGTTACAGCCCCGAGAGTGTAGTTTATCTCAGCTCCACTGATACTGACACTTTGAGGAAGATTGACTAACAGATGTGTTTTCACACCCATCACATTGTACAGTGTATTCCAATTACTAACAAGGGCAAATAAAGTTGAGTACCACATTGCATAAACTGGTATGGGGCAGCACAGTTTACAGGAACACTGGTAACTATTAACATTTGATATACTACAATGTTCAACATTGCTTGAGAAAAGATGAGGTTCAAAGGTGGTAATATGGACACCTTTAAGTTCATATTTTTCGTCATTCCTATGTAGAGTCTGATTCTTCTCGGATTCTTCTCGAGATCAGTACAAAGCTTAAATTGGCCAAAATTAACCACGTGATTCAAACTCTTGTAAGCACTATAATATGGATAATTGCAAGTACGGAGGGGCAAATTCTTACTTAAAGGCCTGTTTGAATATCTCATTCCACCTAAATCGCCTGGCTTTGATGCTTAGAGGACAGATACACCTTCCCTTGTTTACGAACTAGTTTTGGAGTTGCCTTTAAGTAAAAACCTCACACTGTTACAGTTACTTCTGTACCTGTTCAAGGGTAAACCTTTTCTATTTTTAAGGTAACAATGAATTTCAGACGACAATGGTGTATTTTTCCGAATACTCTTCCATACAAAAAGTGTCACTTTCCGTGTTTTCTGTTTTCTGTAGATTTTAATTTGTTCATCAATGAGAGAAATGACTAACCTGATTTAAACCAATGGAATTGTACGTTCTGTTATAAATAAATTTCCCACGACGAGATCTCAATTCAACTTCTTTCATTTCCTCCACAACACAATTTTCCTTCTGTACAACTAGCTCATTACCTTCTCTTGTTGTCACCTCGCTGCCATCAAAACACACTAACACAAAACTTGCTGATAATACAAAATCCCGACGCACAGCATCGTATATGAAAAAACACAACACGCAATACAAAAACAAGTACATTAAGCGTCACCCTGCTAAACAAAATTGAAATAAGAAAAAGAATTGTTGCAGTTATCACAGTAGTTCCAAAAGAAGCCTCAGTCCCTTTTGGTTTCAATTGTTGAAAATCGTCTCTTCCTTCATCGGAACAGATTATTGTCACAGGCAACTTGTTGTGTTCCGCAATGCGAAAATCAAAATTACTATTGTCACACTGATAACCAGCTACACAAATCTTGCGACTCTCAAACTTGTCAAAGGTTCCTCTTTCAAATTCTTATCCATTTTACACGTACACTCCTGATATTCTGATTTGTCATTGAGTCTATGGAGTCCATAAGCCTTTGATGTCATTAAATATCTTGATAGTTTCCTTTGTTTCTCTTTGAATTCCAGGACCAGCCCAGTCCCAAAAAACCCAGTGTTAATTTTTAGTGTCGGCCTATCCCAAACAGTGTGTGAATTTGTAAGTTTAACCCGGGATAACATAATCAAACAATATATTAACACGTCCCTCGAAAAGGATAACACGGCGTAACAAGGGGTAACAAAAGTAAAAAGGCTGACAAAGGGTAACAAGGGTAACAAGAGGTAACAAGGGTAACAAAGGGTAACAAGGGTAACAAGGGTAACAAGGGGTAACAAGAGGTAACAAGGGGTAAAAGGAGTAAAAGGTAAAAAGGGGGAACAAGGGGAGAAAGGGGACAACAAAAGGAAAAAGGGGTAACAACGGTAACAAGGGAACGAGGGGTAACAAGAGTAATAACGCTAACAAGGAGTAACAAGGGTAACAAGGGGTAAGAAGAGGAACAAGAAGAAACAAGGCTAACAATTAAGGCGTAACAAGGGTAACACGGGGTAACAAGCGGAACAAAGAATAAAAAGGGTAACAAGGGGTAAAAAGGGGAAACTAGGGGTAACAAGGGGTAACAAAGGGAACAAGGGGTAACAAGGATACCAAGAGGTAACAAGGGGTAACAAAAGAAAAAAGGGGTAAAAAGGGGTAACAAGAGTAACAAGAGTGACAAGGGGTAAAAAGGGGTAACAAGGGTAACAAGGGGTAACAAGGGTAACAAGGGTAACAAGGGGTAACAAGGATAACAAGGGTAACAAGGGTAACAAGGGTAACAAGGGGTAACAAGTGGTCACAAGGGTAACGAGGTTAACAAGGGTAACCTGGGGTAACAAGGGTAACAAGGGGTAACAAGGGTAACAAAGGTAACAAGGGTAACAAGGGGTGAGAAGGGTAACAAAGGGTAACAAGGGAAACAAACGGAACAAAGGGGTAACAAGGGGTAACAAGGGGGTGAGAAGGGTAACAAAGGGTAACAAAGGAAACGAACGGAACAAAGGGGTAACAAGGGTAACAAGGGTTAACAAGGGTAACAAGGGGTAACAAGGGGTAACGAGGGGTAACAACGGTAACAAGGGTGAAAAGGGCTAACAAGGGTAACAAGGGGTAACAAGGGTAACAAGGGCTAACAAAGGTAACAAGGGGTAACAAGGGGTAACAAGGGTAACACGGGGTAACAAGGGTAACAAGGGCTAACAAGGGTAACAAGGGTAACAAGGGGTAACAAGGGGTAATGAGGGGTAACAACGGTAACAAGGGTAAAAAGGGGTAACAAGGATAAAAAGGGGTAACAAGGGTAAGAAGGGGTAACAAGGGTAACAAAGGGTAACAAGGGGTAACAAGCGTAACAAGGGGTAACAAGGGGTGAGAAGGGTAACCAAAAGGTAACAAGAGGTAACAAGCGTAACAAACGGAAAAAAAGCGGTAACAAGAGTAACAAGGGGTAAGAAGGGTAAGAAGGTTAACAAGGGGTAACGAGGGGTAAAAGGGGAAAAAGTCTAACAAGGGTGACAAGGGGTAAGAAGGGTAAAAAGGGGTAACAAGGGTAACAAGGGGTAACAAGGGTAACAAAGGGTAACAAGGGGTGAGAAGGGTAAAAAAGGGTAACAAGGGTAACAAATGGAACAAAGAAGTAACAAGGGTAACAAAGGGGTAACAAGGGGTAACAAGGGTAACAAAGAGTAACAAGGGGTAACAAGGGGTAACGAGGGGTAACAAGGGTAACAAGGGTAACAAGGGGTAAAAAGGGGTAACAAGGAATAACGAGGGGTAACAAGGGTAACAAGGGGTAACAAGGGTAACAAGGGGTAACAAAGGTAACAAGGGGTAACAAGAGGTAACAAGGGTAACAAGGGTGACAAGGGGTAACAAAGGGTAACAAGGGTAACAAGGGGTAAAAAGGGGAACAAGGGGTAACAAGGGGGAAAGAGGGGGAACAAGGGGTAACAAGGGGTAACAAGGGTAACAAGGGGTAACAAGGGTAACAAGGGGTAAGAGGAGTAACAAAGGGTAACAAGGGGTAACAAGGGGTGAGAAGGGTAACAAAGGGTAACAAGGGGTAAAAAGGGTAACAAGGGTAACAAACGGAACAAAGGGGTAACAAGGGGTAACTAGGGTGACAAGGGGTAACAAGGGGTAACAAGGGGTAACAAGGGGTAACAAGGGTAACAAGGGGTAACAAGGGTAACAACGGGTAACAAGGGTAACAAGGGGTAACAAAGGGTAACAAGGGTAACAAGGGGTAACAGGGGATAAAAACGGTAACAAGGGGTAACGAGAGGTAACAAGGGTAACAAGGGGTAACAAAGGTAAGAAGGGGTAATAAGGGGTAAAAAGGGGAAACAAGGGTAACAAGGGTAACAAGGGTAACAAGGGTAACAAAGGGTAACAAGGGGTAACAAGGGGTAACAAGGGGTAACAAGGGTAACAAGGGGTAACAAGGGGGAACGAGGGGTAACAAGGGGTAACAAGGGGTAAGAAGGGTAACGGGTAACAAGGGTAACAAGGGGTAACAGGGGGTAACAAGGGTAACAAGGGGTAACGAGAGGTAACAAGGGTAACAAGAGGTAACAAGGGGTAACAAGGGTAACAAGGCGTAACAAGGGGTAAAAAGGGGTAACAAGGGTGACAAGGGGTAACAGGGGGTAACAAAGGTGACAAGGGGTAACAAGGGGTAACAAGGGTAACAAGGGTGACAAGGGGTAACAAGAGTGACAAGGGGTAACAAGGGGTAACAAAGGGTTACAAGGGGTAACTAGGGTGACAAGGGGTAATAAGGGGTAACAAGGGGTAACAAGGGTAACGGGTAACAAGGGTAATAAAAGAGATAACCGGGGGTAACAAGGGTAACAAGGGGTAACACGGGGTAACAAGGGTAACAAGGGGTAAAAAGGAGTAACGAGGGGTAACAAGGGTAACAAGGGGTAACAACGGTAACAAGGGGTAACAAGGGTAACATGGGGTAACAAGGGTAACAAGGGTGACAAGGGGTAACAAGGGGTAAAAAGGGGGAACGAGGGGTAACAAGGGGTAACAAGGGTAACAAGGGGTAACAAGGGGTAAGAGGAGTAACAAAGGGTAACAAGGGGTAACAAGGGGTGAGAAGGGTAACAAAGGGTAACAAGGGGTAAAAAGGGGTAAAAAGGGTAACAAAAGGAACAAAGGGGTAAGAAGGGGTAACAAGGGCGACAAGGGCTAACAAGGGGTAACAAGGGGTAACAAGGGGTAACAAGGGGTAACAAGGGTAACAAGGGGTAACAAGGGTAACAACGGGTAACAAGGGTAACAAGGGGTAACAGGGGGCAACAAGGGTAACAAGGGGTAACGAGAGGTAACAAGGGTAACAAGGGTAACAAGGGAGGACAAGGGGTAACAAGGGTAACAAGGGTAACCAGGGTAACAAGGGGTAACGAGGGGTAACAAGGGTAACAAGGGGTAACAAGGGTAACAAGGGGTAAGAAAGGGGTAACAAGGGTAACAAGAGTGACAACGGGTAACAAGGGGTAACAAGGGTAAAAAGGGGTAACAAGGGGTAACAAGGGTAACAAGGGATAACGAGGGGTAACAAGGGTAACAAGGGTAACAAGGGGTAAAAAGGGTAACAAAAGGTAACAAGGGGGAACGAGGGGTAACAAGGGGTAACAAGGGGTAAAAAGGGTAACAAGGGGTAACAAGGGTAACAAGGGGTAACAAGAGTAACAAAGGGTAACAAGGAGTAACAAGGGGTGAGAAGGGTAACAAAGGGTAACAAGGGGTAACAGGGGGTAACAAGGGTAGCAAGGGGTAACGAGAGGTAACAAGGGGTAACAAGGGGTAAAAAGGGGTAACAAAACAAAAATAACAAGGGGTAACAAAGGGTAACAAAAATAAACACAAAGGGTAACAAGGGCTAACAAAAGGTAACAAGGGTAACAAGGGTAACAAGGGTAACAAGGGTAACAAGGGTAACAAGGGTAACAAAGGGTAACAAGGGGTAACAAAAAATTAACAAAGGGTAACAAAATTGACAAGGGGTAACAAAAAATAACAAAAGGGGTAACAAAAAGGTTAAAGGGTAACAAAGGGGTAACAAACAAGGGGTAACAAAGGGGTAACAAGGGGTAACAAAAAAGGGGTAACAAAGGGGTAACAAGGGTAACAAGGGGTAACAAGGGGTAACAAGGGTAACAAGGGGTAACAAGGGTAACAAGGTAACAAGGGTAACAAAGGGTAACAAAGGGGTAACAAAGGGGTATGGGGTAAAAGGGTAACAAGGGGGTAACAAAGGTAACAAAAGGTAACAAGGGTAACAAGGGGTAACAAGGGGTAACAAGGGTAACAAGGGGTAACAAGGTAACAAAAGGTAACAAGGGGTAACAAAGAGTAACAAGGGGTAAAAAGGTAACAAAAGGGGTAACAAAAGGGTAACAAGGGTAACAAGGGTAACAAGGGGTAACAAGGGGTAACAAAAGGTAACAGGTAACAAGGGGTAACAAAAGGGTAACAAAGGATAACAAGGGTAACAAAGGGTAACAAGGGGTAAAAAGGGTAACAAAGGGTAACAAAGGGTAACAAGGGGTAACAAGGGTAAGAAAGGGTAACAAGGGTAACAAGGGTAAAAAAGGGTAACAAGGGGTAACAAGGGGTAACAAGGGGTAACAAGGGGTAACAAGGGTAACAAGGGGTAACAAGGTAACAAAAGGGTAACAAGGGTAACAAAAAGGGCAAGAAGGGTAACAAAAGGGTAACAAACAGGGGTAACAAAGGTAACAAGGGGTAACAAGGGTAACAAGGGTAAAAAAGGGGGGTAACAAGGGTAAAGGCAAAGGGTAACAAGGGTAACAAGGGGTAAAAAGGGTAACAAGGGTAACAAGGGTAACAAAAAAGGGTAACAAGGGCAAAGGGTAAAAAGGCAACAAAGGGTAACAAAAGACAAGGGTAACAAAGGGTAACAAGGGTAAAAAAAAAAAAAAAAAAACAAAAGGTAAAAGGGTAAATAACAAGGTAACAAAGGGTAACAAAGGGTAACAAGGGGTAACAAGGGTAAAAAGGGGTAACAAGGGGTAATAAGGGCAAAACGGAACAACAAGGGTAACAAGGGGTAACAAGGGATAAAAAGGGTAACAAGGGATAAAAAGGGGTAACACGGGGTAATAAGGGTAGCAAGGAATAACAAAAGTAACAAGGGTAACAAGGGGTAACAAGGGTAAGAAGGGTAACAAGGGGTAACAAGGGTAACAAGGGGTAACAAAGGTAACAAGGGTAAAAGGGCAATAAGGGTAACAAGGGTAACAAGGGTAACAAGGGGTAACAAAGGGTAACAAGGGTAACAAATAACAAAGGGGTAACAAGGGGTAACAAAACAAGGGTAACAAAGGGGTAACAAGGGGTAACAAGGGTAACAAGGGTAACAAGGGTAACAAGGGTAACAAGGGTAACAAGGGTAACAAAAGGGTAACAAAAATAACAAGGGGTAACAAAACAAAGGTAACAAGGTAACAAAGGGGTAACAAAGGGGTAACAAGGGTAACAAGGGGTAACAAGGGTAACAAGGGTAACAAGGTAACAAGGGTAACAACAAGGGGTAACAAGGGTAACAAGGGTAACAAGGGGTAACAAGGGTAACAAGGGTAAAAAATAAAGGGAGGGTAACAAAGGGCAACAAAAGGTAACAAGGGGTAACAAAGGGTAACAAGGGTAACAAGGGTAAAAAAGGGTAACAAGGGTAACAAAGGGTAACAAAGGGTAACAAGGGGTAACAAGGGGTAACAACAGGGTAACAAGGGTAACAAGGGGTAACAAGGTAAAAAAAGGGCAACAAAGGTAACAAAGGGTAACAAGGGGTAACAAGGGTAACAAGGGGTAACAAGGGTAACAAGGGTAACAAAAGGGTAACAAGGGGTAACAAGGGTAACAAAAGGTAAAAAAAAAGGGTAACAAGGGTAACAAGGGGTAACAAAGGGGTAACAAGGGTAACAAAAGGGTAACAAGGGGTAACAAGGGGTACAAAAGGGTAACAAAAGGGGTAACAAAGGTAAAAAGGGTAACAAGGGTAACAAGGGGTAACAAAGGGTAAAAAAGAGGTAACAAGGGTAACAAGGGTAACAAGGGGTAACAAGGAAAACAAGGGGTAACAAAGGGTAAAAAGGGGTAACAAGGGTAACAAGGTAACAAGGGGTACGAGGGTAACAAGGGGTAACAAAGGGGTAACAAAAAGGGGTAACAAAGGGTAAGAAGAGTAACAAGAGGTAAAAAAGGGGTAACAAGGGGTGAGAAGGGTAACAAAGGTAACAAGGGGTAAAAGGGTAACAAGGGTAACAAACGGACAAAAAAACAAAGGGTAACAAAAGGTAACAAGGGGTAACAAGGGGAACAAGGGTAACAAGGCAATAAGGGTAACAAAAGGTAACAAGGGTAACAACGGGTAACAAGGGCAACAAGAGTAACAAGGGGTAACAAGGGTAACAAGGGATAACAAGGGGGGTGAAAAGGGTAACAAGGGGTAACAAGGGAAACAAGGGTAACGAAACGGGTAACAAAAGGGTAACAAGGGGTAACAAAGGTAATACAAGGGTAACAAGGGGTAACAAGGGAAACAATGGGGGGTGACAAAGGGTCACAAGGGTAACAAGGGGTAACAAGGGTAACAAGGGGTAACAAAACAAGGTAACAAAGGGTAACAAGGGTAACAAGGGGTAACAAGGGTAACAAAGGGTAACAAAAGGGTAACAAAAGGGTAACAAGGGTAACAAGGGGCAAATTGGGTAACAAGGTAAGGGGTAACAAGGGTAACAAGGGGTAACAAGGGGTAACAAGGGTAACAAGGGTAACAAGGGGTAACAAGGGTAACAAGGGTAAAAAGGGGTAACAAGGGTAACAAGGGATAACAAGGGTAACAAGGGGTAACAAGGGTAACAAGGGGTAACTCACAAGGGTAGCAACGGTAACAAAGGGTAACAAAGGTAACAAGCCTAACAAGGGGTAAAAAGGGTAACAAGGGATAACAAGGGTAACAAAGGTAACAAGGGGTAAAGAAGGGTTACAAGGGTAACAAGGGGTAACAAGGGTAACAAGGTTAAAAAGGGGTAACAAGAGTAACAAGGGGTAACAAGGGTAACAAGGAATAACAAGGAGTAACAAGGGGTAACAAGGGGTAACAAGGGGTAACAAGGGTATCAAGGGGTAACAGGGGTAAAACGGGGTAAGAAATGTAAGAAGGGGTAACAAGGGTAACAAGGGCAACAAGGGGTAACAAGGGGTAACAGGGGTAACACGGGGTAAGAAGGGTAACAAGGGGTAACAAGGGTAACAAGGGCAACAAGGGGTAACAGGGGTAACAAGGGGTAACAAAAAAAGGACAAGGGTAACAAAAATAACAAGGGTAACAAATAAAAGTGACAAAAAGGGTAACAAGGGTAACAAGGGGTAACAAGGGTAACAAGGGGTAACAAGGGTAACAAGGGGTAACGAGGGGTAACAAGGGGCAACAAAGGGTAACAAGGGTAACAAGGGGGTAACAAGGGTAACAAGGGGCAAAAAGGGTAAATAAGGGTAACAAGGGGTAACAAGGGGTAACAAGGGTAACAAGGGGTAACAAGGGATGAGAAGGGTAACAAAGGGCAAACAAGGGTAAAAGGGGTAACAAAGGGTAACAAACAAAAAAGGGTAATAAGGGTAACTTGGGGTAACAAGGGTAAAAAAAGGGTAACAAGGGTGAAGAAGGGGTAACAAAGGGTAACAAAAGGTAACAAGGGTAAATAATTAACAAGGGCAAACAAGGGTAACAAGGGGTAAAAGGGTAACAAGGGGTAAACAGGCAAATAAGGGGTAACGAGGGGTAACAAAGGAAACAAGGGGTAACGAAGGGTAACAAAAAACAACAAGGCAACAAGGGTAACAAGGGGTAACAAGGGGTAACGAGGGGGGTAACAAGGGAAACAATGGGTACAAAAGACAAGGGGTCACAAGGGTAACAAAAAATAAACAGGGTAAAAAAGGGGTAAAGGTTGGGGGTAACAAGGGTAACAAAGGGTAACAAGGGTAACAAAGGTAACAAAGGTAACAAGGGTAAAAAGGGCAACAAGGGCAACAAGGGTAACAAGGGCACTGAGGGGTAACAAGGTAAATAAGGGGTAACAAGGAACAAGGGGTAAATAAGGTAACAGGGGAAACATAAGGGTAAAAAGGGTAAAAGGGTAACAAGGGGTAACAAGGGGAACAAATGTAACAAGGGTAACAAGGGGTAACCAAAAGGGTAAGAAGAGGCAACAAAGGGTAACAAGGGGTGAGAAAGGGTAACAAAGGGTAACAAGGGGTAACAAAGGGTAACAAGGGTAACAAGGGTAACAAGGGGTAACAAGGGGAACAAGAGGGGTAACAAAAATTGTAATAAAGGGTAAGAAGGGTAACAAGAGGTAACAAGGGTAACAAGGGGTAACAAAAGGTGAAGGGAAAGAAAGGGGTAACAAGGGTAACAAGGGTAACAAGGGTAACAAGAGGTAACAAGGGGTAACAAGGGGGTAACAAGGGTAACAAAGGGTAAGGGGTAACAAGGGTGACAAGGGGTAACAGGGGGTAACAAAGGGTAACAGGGGTAATAAGGGGTAACAAAGGTAACAAAGGGTAATAAGGGTAACAAGGGTAACAAGGGGTAACAAATAAGGTAACTAAGGGTGACAAGGGTAACAAGGGGTAACAAGGGTAACAAAAAGTGACAAGGGGTAACAAAAGGTAACAAAAGGGTAAAAAGGGGTAACAAGGGTAACGGGTAAGGGTAACAAGGAGTAACAAGGGTAACAGGGGTAACAAAAAGGGTAACAAGAGGTAACAAGGGGTAACAAGGGGGCTAACTATGGCTTGTTAGATAAATCTTTCGATCTGGACAAGGATCTCTATTTAGGCACTGTTTTACATAAGTCAAACACTTCACAAGTAATCGACCAAGAACTTTTTAGACGATATTGAAAGCGAAATTGTAAATTTTACACTCAAAGGTGATGTAATTTTGCAAGGATTTAACGCGCGCACCGGCAGCATGCAAGAATTCGCGGTCCATGACGACGATAATCAATTTCTTGAAATCCCAGAAGACTATGAAATAGATACAGAAAAATTATCGCTATTCACAGGACGAAAATACAACTAACAGCAGAGGGAGGATTCTGATTGATCTTTTGCACAGCTCTCAGTCTTAGGGATCCTGAACGGCAGTGAGTGGTAGGTGATCTTACAGGAAAACATGCTTCAAATACAATGGGAGCAGTGTGGTAGATTATGTTATCATTTCAGTAGAATTCTCAGATATATTAATTACTTTATTGTCAACGATCTGGAACCCCACCCATCGGACCATTGTTCCTTTATCATTCGCATTGCTAAAACACAAAAAGGTGCTCCGGCAAACAACCAGACGAGATCACGTTAAGCAGATTTAAGAAATTAGTCTGGGACGATAATGCGAAACACGAATTAAGCCGACTCTTAAAGTATAGAAACAAAAACAGGCTGAACACAGCTCAATAACAATAACGTGGACACAATGACTGATCTATTCACACAAAACTGATTGACGTATGCAAACAAGCAGGCTTGAGATTCATTAACACCACGAGGAAGCATAGTGAAAAACCATGGTTCGACGAGCAATGCAACATAGAAAAAAAGAGAATCTTAAATCATTGGGTAGGCATATCTCACGAAACCCGAACGTGGAGGAATTGAGATCAAAATCTACACAAGAAAAAAAGGCTTTCAAACACCTGTGCAGAAAAAAGAAAACGCCAACATTATAATCGGATAATTAAATGCATTGATCTCAGTAATGGTAAAACTGCGTGGAGACAACTTAGAAATTATTCAACCTGGGCAAATCAAAAATATGCAAAAAAAAATACATCTGAGGACTTAGAGAAGTTTTACAGTTACTTTAAAAAGTTAAAACGCACGAAAACAGCAAAACGAAGAGTACATACTAACAAGATCAGAGGCCTTGGGGCCCCAGATTATGAAATATCTGAACAGGAAACGGTAACTGCTATCGACCCTTTAAAAACCTGGAAAGGCCCCGGGTAGATAACATTTATGCAAGAGTTGCTCAAACATGGCAAAGAGGCCTTAAAAGGGCCTCTCACAACTTTTCAATAAAATCCCTAACCAGTGGTAGGTACCCTGTGAGTCATGGCCTAATTATACCAATCTTCAAAAAAAAAGATGATCCGTCCAACCCAGAGAATTATAGAGGGATTACTTATCAGCCATGGAAAGATTTTTACCTCAATAATGAATAGCAGGCTTTGTGACTATCTAATTGAAAAAGGGCATAATTATCTAGAACAATGTGGCTTCTGAAAAAACACGGTACACAGGACAGCATCTTCATTTTAAAAGCACCAATAGACAAATATGTTAAATCTAAAACCCAAGAAATCAAATAACCTTTATTCACCTGCTTTGTTGACTTTAGTAAAGATCTCGATAGTATCCCCAGAGGGAAACTGTTTCAAAAATTGAAGCTAGCGGGAGTAACGGGCGCTTCTTGAGATTTTACATTCAATGTACTCCAATGATAAATCATCTGTGAAAAATTGAAAAATATACCAACACCCGCCTTCGATGCCATACCTGGTGTAAACAAGGTTGTATGCCTCGCCAACCCTTTTAACTTTATCTCAGTGACCTTCAGGAGAAACTTAAGGCTAAGAACCTAAACGACATAAAACAAACGAGTTACTGTTAAGTTGTGGCGCTCTACGCGGATGACTTGGTCATATTCTCCAAATCAAAAAACGGACTGCAGAATTATTTGACCCTCAGTGAATACTGCAAAGAAAAACGACTTGTCGGTTAACCTTGATAAAACTAAGGTGTTAATTTTCAATAACTGCGGAGAAACTCATGAATAAGCACGTATTATACTATAGAGGCAGAAACTGACAATGTTAGCAAATTACAAATATCTTGGCCTACAATTTAGTACTTATGGGACCTCACGTACGCTAAACAGGAAATAAAGAAGGTTGCCTTAAAGCTTTGGTAAACTCAGAAGGAAATGGGCGACCATTTCAGAGACGATGTACAGCTCACAATGAAAATTTTTGACACGGTTATTTCCCAATACTCACCTACGGAAGCGAGGTCTGGGGTCGATCACGACGGAAAGCTGAAAATGATCCAATGAGTTTGTTCAAACAAAGTTCATAAGGTGGCTATTGGGAGTTAACAAATTCTAGCTCAAATGCGTGCAGATTTGGAGGTAGGCCGTTTCAATGCGAACGAAGACAAAGTGCAGAGCTATTAAATATTGGCTGAAATTTTGTGGAGCCGGAGCACCAAAATAAACTCTCTGAATAGCATTTACAGACCAAATTGGTCAAGATAAAAAGGAACTTTGGTCAAGCAAATTAAAACACTATTAAACCTCGCAGGTCTTGGCGACATATGGTCAGCGAAAACTAACACTCCGCAATCATGAACTATATACGACAGAGACTCTTAGACATAGAACAGCAAACATGGATTAGCAAAATACACAATGATGAACGAAAGGACCGCATCAAAAAACAAACTAAGAACTTTAGGAAATTTTAAACTTACCCATGACTACGAAAATTACCTCACAAATGTAAGAAACATCAATCATAGAGTAGCAATCACAAAGCTAAGATTAAGCAACCACAAACTAGCAATTGAAACTGGACGATACGTTAAACCCTATCAACCACCCACCAAAGAATCTATTCATTATGTAAACTGGATTAGAAGACGAGGAGCATTTTTGATGAATTGCATAGCCTATAGATCCTAGGAGGCTGTTCAATACGCTAAAAAGGAAACTAATCTATTCTTGACTTGGCGACTCCAAGCCTGCCTTTACAACGTTGATAAGTATGAAGCAAGGAGAGAAAACGCAAAAATTGTACAAATACGCATATGATCGCTTCCGTGAAAGAGACAGACGTAAAATATAACCTTGTTTAATAGTTGTATAAATTTTACAAATGTACCCGTCTGTAATTATTGCACGAAAATCTTTGTTATCATTGTAAACACATGTGTCTGTAGGCGCTCTGTTGATAATAAAGCACTTATCCTTAAAAAAAGGGGTAACAAGGGGTAACAAGGAAAACAAGGGGTAACAAGGGGTAAAAAGGGGTAACAAGGGTAACAAGGGTAACAAGGGGTAACAAGGGGTGAGAAGGGTAACAAAGGGTAACAAGGGGTAACAAGGGGTAAGAAGGGTAACAAACGGGACAAAAGGGTAACAAGGGGTAACTTGGGTGACAAGGGGTAACAAGGGGTAACAAGGGGTAAGAAGGGTAACAAGGGTAACAAAAGGTAACAAGGGTAACAACGGGTAACAAGGGCAACAAGGGTAACAAGGGGTAACAAGGGTAACAAGGGGTAACAAGGGGTAACAAGGGGTAACGAGGGGTAACAAGGGAAACAAGGGTAACGAAGGGTAACAAAGGGTAACAAGGGGTGACAAGGGGTAACAAGGGGTAACAAGGGGTAACAAGGGGTAACGAGGGGTAACAAGGGAAACAAGGGTAACAAGGGTGACAAGGGGTCACAAGGGTAACAAGGGGTAACAAGGGTAACAAGGGGTAACAAGGGTAACAAGGGTAACAAAGGGTAACAAGGGTAACAAAGGGTAACAAGGGGTAACAAGGGTAAAAAGGGTAACAAGGGTAACAAGGGGCAATAAGGGTAAATAAGGGTAACAAGGCAATAAGGGTGAATAAAGGGTAAATAAGGGGTAAAAAGGGAACAATGGGTAACAAGGGGTAAAAGGGTAACAAGGTAACAAGGGGTAACAAGGGGTAACAAGGGTAAATAAGGGTAAAAAGGGTAACAAGGGGTAAGAAGAGTAACAAAGGGCAACAAGGGGGGGGTGAGAAGGGTAACAAAGGGCAACAAGGGTAACAAAGGAACAAGGGTAACAAGAGGTAATAAGGGGTGTTCAAAGGGTAACAAAGGGAAAAGGGGCAACAAGGGGCAACAAGGGGTAAGAAGGGTAACAAGAGGTAATAAGGGTAACAAGGGGCACAGGGGTAACAAGGGCAACAAGGGAAAATAGAGGTAAATAAGGGTAACAAGAGGTAAGAAGGGGTAACAAGGGTAACAAAGGAATAAGGTAAAAAGGGTAACAAGGGTGACAAGGGGTAACAGGGGGTAAAAAAGGGTAATAGGGGTGACAAGGGCAATAAGGGTAACAAACGGTAAATAAGGGTGACAAAGGGTAATAACAAAAAGGGTAACTAGGGTGACAAGGCAAATAAAGGCAATAAGGGTAACAAAAGTGACAAGGGGTAAATAAGGCAATAATAAAAAGGCATCAAGGGTAATTGCACAAGGGTAATAAGGGGTAATAGGGGGTAAATAAGGTAAACGAGAGGTAACAAGGGTAAATAAGGGGCAATAAGGGGTAATAAGGAAAACAAGGTAATAAGGGTAAAAAGGGGCAATAAGGTAACAAGGCAATAAGGGGCAATAAGGGTAACGAGGGGTAACAAAACAAGGGTAACAAAGGGGTAGAAGAGTAACAAGAGGGGGGTAACAAAGAAGGGAAGTAAAATAAGGGTAAAGGTAACAAAACGGACAAAGGGTAACAAGGGGTAACTTTAAGTGACAAGGGGTAACAAGAGGGTAACAAGGGTAAATAAACGGTAATATGGGTAAACAACGGTAAAGGGCAACAAGGGTAACAAGGGTACAAGGGTAACAAGGGTAACAAGGGCAATGACAAGGGAAACAAGGTCTGACAAGGGGCAATAACAACGGCAATAAAGGGGTAACAAGGGTAACAAGGGGTAACAAGGGTAATAAAAGGGTAAATAAGGGGTAACAAGGGTAACAAAGGGAAAAAATGGTAACAAAAGGGAACAAAGGGAAATAAGGGGCAACAAGGTAACAAAGGGGACAAGGGTAAAAAGGGTAACAAGGGGTAACAAGGGTAACAAGGGATGAAATGGTAAGGTAACAAGGGAACAACGGGCACAAAGGGAAATAAGGGGTAAGAAGGGCATAAGGGGTAACAAAGGTAACAAGGGGTAACAAGGGTAACAAGGATAACAAGGGTAAATAAGGGGAAGAAGGAACAAGGGTAACGAGGGGTAACGAGGGGTAAGGGGGTAAGAACCAAAGGATAAGAAGGGCAATAACAAGGGAAGTTAGAGAAGGTAAAGGGGTAACAAAGGGGTACAAGGGGTAAATAAGGCAACAAGGGCAACAAGGGTAACAAAGGAACAAACAAGGGGTAACAAAGGAATTAGGGGTAATTGAAGGGGTAACAAGGGTAAATAAGGGGCAAAAGGCAAAGTGTAGAAGGTAAAAGGGTAACAAGGGAGGACAAGGGGTAATAAGGGTAAAAAGGTAACAAGGGGTAAATAAACGGGGGTAACAAAAACAAGGGTAACAAGGGGTGACAAGGGGTAATAAGGGTAACAAGGGGTAACAAGTGGTAACAAAAGGGTAAATAAGGGGTAAATAAGGGGTAACGAGGGTAATAAGGCTCTACAGGGCAATAAGGGTGACAAGGGTAATAAGGTAACAAAGGGAAACAAGGGGTAACAAAGGCAACCAAGGGTAACAAAGGTAATAAGGCAACAAAAAAGGGTAAAAAAGGGGGGTAACAAAGGGTAACAAGAGGTAAATAAGGGGTAAATAAGGGATGAAAATGGTAACAAAGGGAAGTTAGGAGGCTAGGGGTAACAAGGTAAACAAACAGAACAAAGGTAACGAGGGGTAAATAAGGGAAACAAGGCAACAAGGGTACAGGTAACAAGGCAAATAAAAGGGTAAATAAGGGCAATAAGGGTAAAAAGGGTAACAAGGGTAAATAAAGGGTAACAAGGGGTAAATAAGGGCAATATAAGGGTAAAAAGGGGATGAGAAGGGTAACAAAGGGAAGAAGGAGGGTTAACAAGGGTAACAAAGGGTAAGAAGGGGTAAGAAGGGTAACAAGGGGTAAGAAGGCAACAAGGGGCAATAAGGGATGAGAAGGGGGTAACAAAGGAAGAAGCATAGGGTAAATAAGGGTAACAAGGGCAACAAGGTAACAAGGGTAACAAGGGTAACGAGGCAATAAGGGTAACAAAGGGCAAGGGTGACAAGGGGTACAAGGGTAATAAGGCAATAAGGGGTAACAACGGTAACAAGGGGTAATAAGGTAACGAGGGGTAACAAGGGTAATAAGGGCAAGAAGGGGTAAGAAGGGTAACAAGGAGGACAAGGGGTAAATAAGGGTAACAAAGAATAACAACAAGGGCAATAAAGGGTAACGAGGGTAAAGGGAAACAAGGGTAATAAGGGTGACAAGGGTAATAAGGGTAACAAGGGGTAACAGGGGTAAGAAAGGGGTAACAAGGGGTGACAAGGCAACAAGCAACGAGGATAACAAGGGAAACAAGGGTAACATCGGGTGACAAGGGTAATAAGGGTAAATAAGGCAATAAGGGCAACAAGGGTAAATAAGGGTAAATAAGGGTAAATAAAGGGTAACAAGGGGAAATAAGGGTAAACAAGGGGTAACAAGGGATGAAAATGGTAACAAAGGGGAAGTTAGAGATAGGGGTAACAAGGGTAACAATTGGAACAAAGGGGTAAGAAGGGTAAGAAGGGGTAACAAGGGTAACAAGGGGTAAGAAGGGATGAGAAGGGTAACAAAGGGGAAGTTAGCGATAGGGGTAACAAGGGGTAACGAGGGGTAACGAGGGGTAAGATGGGGTAAGAAGGGTAACAAACGGAACAAAGGGGTAACAAGGGGTAACAAGAGTAACAAAGGGTAACAAGGGGTAATGAGGGGTAAGAAGGGTAACAAGTGTAACAAGGGTAACAAGGGGTAACAAGGGTAACAAGGGGTAACAAGCGTAACAAAGGGTAACAAGGGGTAACAAGGGTAACAAGGGGTAACTAGGGGTGAGAAGGTTAACAAGGGGTAACAAGGGTAAGGGGTAAAGGGGTAACAAGGGATAACAAGGGTAACAAACGGAACAAAGGGGTAACAAAAGGGTAACAGGGGTAACAAAGGCAATAAGGGTAATAAGGCAAACAAATGGTAACAAGAATAAGGGTGCTCATAAGTGACAAAAAGGGTAACAAAAGGGCAATAAAGGGTAAAAGGTAACAAGGGTAACAAGGGTAACAAGTGGTAATGGTATGGTATGGTATGTTAACTATATTTATACACGGTATTTCTTGAGGTACATTTACATGCAAGTATAGAAAAACTAACTTCTTAACTGATCTAAAATCTAAGATTGAAACTAAAATAACAAAGGTGAAAAGAAAACACCTGCTTGTCAAGGAGGCCGTGTGTAAAAACAGAATATCGCTCATTAAATCATTTGTCACTGAGGATCGAAATTTTCCTCTCTTAATTTTCCCTTAAATATTCTAGGGGATGTCAATTGCCGCACCTCCAGAGGGAAGCTGTTCCATAACACACTTCCGCTGTAATAAAGACTTCTTCTACAAAATTCAGTACGGGGTTGTGGAACAGCGAGCTTGTATTCATTCTCTCTAAGGTTATAACTAGTTAAATCGCAGCGAAGAACAAACCTACCGCGAACAGTGTGTGCATTTGTAAGTTTAATCCTCAAGAACATACTTCAATAATACGTTCCTCGAAACACCGTCGCCAAATTTTGTCCAAATTGCTTTTTATTGCTGCTTTGAAAAATTTAGGATCAAATGATATCATTGGATTACTACCATCCTAGAAGCGCGACGAATTCTGCGCGTGGTTTCACATTCCAACCTGTCAGTTTTGGCCAATGAAACGTTGTCGGTTAGTCTCTGTCGTGAAATTGACAACGTTTTTGGAGCGGTACGAACATGTTTTGATCACGTGCTGTCTAAGGGTGCGTTCCTTTGGGATGATCTGGATCAAGATCAATCATTCGAGATCACTCAGATTATGGTAGATCAAATGAACTGGTGAATCCTTGTCCAGAGTGGATTTATCGGTTCATTTGATCTACCATGATCCGAGTGATCTCGGATCACTGATCCTGATCTGGATCATCCCAAAGGGACGCACCCTAAGTTTTCAGCTTTTTCGTGGGAGCGTATTCTAATTTTAAAGTCTGCATGTGTCAATATGGTGATGCAAATTCAAGTTCAAATTGGAGATACTAGAAGAGTTCTTTTTTATGAATCCGCCTTCGAGTGTTGAGGATTTTAAAAAAAAACTACATTTTGCGTGAGATTTCGAAGACACGTTTCATGGATTTTGCTTCACTTTGCGTAAACGATAAAGGAGAATATGTAGTGTTGAATGACGTTCGCATGGCAGAAATTCGCCTCCCTTCCCTTGTTTACTTGCTTGTTTACGTTAGCACGTATTGCGTGCCTATTGCACTTTTGCTTCAAAGCAAGCCGTTTCCATTACTCTATTTGGGCCACGCCCAAATAATAAACCAGGGATCAACGAAAATAATTATCTTTGACCTGGGGGAGGACTGAACTCAATCATTCAGTTACTACTCAGGTTATCATCAGTCAGTCAGTCAGTCAGTCAATGACTTTATACTAAGCCATGTTGCATCAACAACAAAAAAAAAACGGATTAGACCTACCACAACACCACAAATGTCTCCACTCTCAAAACGACCAATGGCACAATCTAAAGAACGTATCATGGCATTGTTGAGACGCTGGGTGATTAGTTTATTCAAATCGATTGAACGGCCAAGCAGCTGAAATAGAAAACAAGAAATATTGTTTCCAAAGAAAAAATTAACTGAGCACAAAAATAAAGGAAAATGAACATCAAGCCAAGAGTAAAAACGAAGCACAACATGATTGTACCAACAGAATTTTATCGTACTAAGTAAAGGGCTATTTCTGTGTTAATTTTTGAAGACCTAAAACGTTTTTCGTATCCATTGATTTTCAAAAATAATGATTTAGTTTTGTCATTTTTAAAACTGTATTTTAATTATTGAAATTGTTTCCTGCCATTTGTTGAAACGGATGGCAAGGATGGACACGAGTTGAAACTTATAAAGTTGAGCTCCCTTTTACAAATGGAAATAATCACTAATCATATAACATTACAATGGTTAGTGCTCACTGATAAAATTTGCTTGATACAGAACTCTACAGGAGCATTTTTTGTATTAGCCTACGTAGCATGCGCTTGGAAGTAATGGGCGAAAGAGAGAACGGGCGCGCGCGAGGAAGACGCATGTCCCCTTCTCGCGCGCCCGTTTATTCTTGTGCCCACTACTTCCAAGCGCCTGCTACACAGGCTATTTTTGTATGGCAGAAGGAACTGAGAAATGACTTCAACACAGAATTTGACCTAAAACAGCAATGTTCTCGTTTCCATTCTATATACCTGGACATGTCTCTGTTTAAGAAGGGTCTCGTATCTGTTTGAACGTGTCCCCAATTTCGCAGCAGACTCAGCACTCATGCGAGCTAGTTCTGATTTAAACTTCTTGTCAAGTAACATGCTGCAAAGCAACACAGCAATTGCACAGCAATGTATTTATTTGCCAGACAATAGTAAAAATTAAAGAAAATAGTAAAAGATATGTAGAAAAAGGGAAGAGGCAAGGAGACCCAAGAGAAACTATAGAAAGGTCAAGAGACATATTGCAAGGCCTCCTCAAACTACGGGCTACATAATTATGTGGTTGCTTACATCAAGTCAAGCAAAACATGGCTTTAAGTCTAAGGTGGACCCATCAATTTTGTACGAAAGGACAGTGCAACCTCAAAAGGGACTGGCAAATTTTGTTTGCTGTAACAAGGTTTCGTTATATCAAGGTTCTTTTCCATTTATTTTACTATTACTAGTATAAAGAAGATCGTTCGTGATATACCGAGGACTTTGTTTATAGAAAGAGGTTTGTTAAATCAAGGTACCACCGTACAGTACAAGGATCAATTCTCTGCATGGTTCAAATGTGTAATTAGTTTAAATTACCTGCAGGCCTGGGCCTTGTAATAAGCAAATATCTGATCACTGAGTTTGTACACAAACTGGTCAAAACACAAGTTAACCTGCCAAGAAAAATTAGTAAACTTTGCGGTCAGAACAGTTTCTGGAAGGCGAAAAGTAGATGCAAACGAGAACCATAGTTACATGTATCCAGAAACTACAAAAGTAGTGCTGTTGTAAGAAATAAATATGTTAAATATTCTGTCACAATGATAAGCGATACCCTTTGCTTTCCAGCAATGGCCAAGAACTTAATTATTCTGGATAGCACAAAAACCACATCCAATAACCGATCATCATCTAATCATCACTCACCTCAGCCTCAATTTCATCATACAGAAACTGTTTCTTAAACACAGTCATGGCGTAATGAGCACTGTCATTGTAAAGATCCAGTGGGTACAATACATACCTACAGAGCAACACCATGATAACAAAAATAACAGTCAAAATACATCCTCCACAGGCACCCTCAAACAAGGTAAGGAAGCTGATTAAACTGACTTACTCCATCATACTGGGATTCTTGCTCTCAAGAATGTGATTTGTTAAAATCCATGGCATTGACATCTCAATGGGAAACTGAAATCAACCACAACAACAACAACAACAAGAATTGTAATGCAGTGTTTTTAGGTTAATCTTAAGTCTTTAGTCTTCCCTAGGCTTTTTTTTAAATATTCAGACCCCCAAAAAGGCATGAGCAAGATAACCTTAACCCTGTGGCCTTAACCCTTTCAATCCCAAGCGGCCAAAGTCAAAATTCATCAAAATTTCCCAGTTGTAAAATGCTGAGAAACAAATATAACCATGTGAAAATACTGCTGAAGAGGTTTGATTTGAATGGTCACCCCACAGGATTTCGTCCACATACTACATACTAAATAAATAGTACCATGTGAAAGTACTGCTAAAGAGGTTTCATTTGAATGGTAACACCATAGGATTTCATTTATAGACTCAAAAGTTAGAAACACTTTAAAACACTCCATCATTTTCTCTGGGAGTGAAAGGGGCTGAAATGGAAAAACATGATTTATTGAAACACACACAGCTTCTGAGTAAATTGGGTTTAATAATTAAAGGGTGCAATTTTTGGAATCAGACAACCTGATGTGGCACAGGCAACCCGGTAACAATCTGCACTAGGGTACAGAATTTGGTCTCTGAAAATTAAATGTAAAACGGATTTTACTTTTGTCTTGATTACCAAGACTGACTGGTCAGCCTTTTCTAATACATGTACCTGAATCCTTGCACCCATGGTCAACTCAAGGTAGAATTCTCTAAACCACAGCTGAGAAAGATCGCAACACTCTCTCAACACTTCATTGAAGCGAAGAAGTTTTTCAAAGAAGAAAGATTTCTTCAAGAAGGCCTCAATATGCTCCACTGTTTCTTTTTCCAGTTCTTTACGCATGACCTTTTTACCACCTTTCTCTGAAATCAGTGATTCCAGCATAGTGCGGACCATGTACAACTGCCAAAAAAGAGTTAAACAATAGGTGTAAGAGAGGAATATATAGTACGTTCATGTAGTTTACATCTCTGCTGGATAAGAAGGAAAAAAGATTCCACTAAGAGCTAGTAAGACCTTGTGATAAGGTAATGATATTTTTGAGCTTCTTAAACAACGTTTCTTACCAAGATCATAACCATCACCATCAACCTCATAACTGTCACCATAATTATCACCATCAAAATACTGGTAACCAGGTGAGAAACATTGCCATCATCATTATCACCATAATCATCATTGCCCTCACCATAATCATTATGGTTTGAAATGGAAGTGAAAAGGAATCCACTTATTTCTGTACCAATAAAGAGCTTTTTTGGGCATATTACCAACATTAAGATAGGATATAGAAGGATTCAACATTGCCTGCAACAGGTATTCACTAGGGATACCCCACAAAATCTATAATAATTCAAGCAGGAAAAATGAAATGCCCAACCATAAGTTCACTAAACTAAGGGCTACATGTTAATACCTGGGTACTAGAAGGTCCTACATCTCTGTCTGGTATCTTGATATTTGGCCCTGCTTTAGGGTCCTTTTCTCCTTTAAGAATTGGGTCCCCTCTTCCATGCTGGCCATCTGCCCAGTCTCCTCCAGTCTCACGGATGGACAACAAAATTCTGTGATTTAAAGAACACCATTACAGCAGTGGAAGATCAATCACTGAAAAAATTTTGTCGGTGTCATTATGTAGCTGTGGGAATTAAGGCCCAGTGGTTAGCACTTTGGTTTGCTGCATCGGTGGTTCCAGGTTCAGGCCCTGCTGGGATCATTGTGTTGTGTTCTTTAGCAAGACACTTGGCCCTCACAATGCCTCACTCCACCCTGGGCCCAGTTGTTTGAAGGCCGATTAGTGCTTGACCCAGGGTTAAATTTAATGTCGGTTTCTTTTTCTCTTGTTCAAAGGCATTTTCTTGGATTATTTTCTCTGTTATTTTTAAGAGCATCCAATCATCAACTTGCTGACAAAAAGAATTAAACTGAATTTACTTTTTTACCATTCTTATCTGACTTCAAATTCTGTCCTAACCCTGGGTTATCTAACCCAACCCTGGGTTATCTAGCCGAGCTTTGAACAACCTGGCCCAGGCGAATAATTTAATGGGTATCAGTGAATTTATTGTCAGGGGCAACCCTTCAATGGACTAGCTTATTCCAAATCATTTCATGCTTAAGTCCCATCCCGATTTGGGCCACATGGATCAAATGCAGACTTTCACATTATTTTTTTTACCTTAACATATTCAGTTATGATGAAAATGTTCATCAAAATTGTGGTCTCTAAGTGGGAAGCACTGGAAAATCTCTCAGTTCAGAGGGTCACATACACCGTACCCAGATACATGTACTCACATCAATGTTACTTGCTACTTCATTAATTTTGAATAATTATTGAGTTTACATGTACATGCACCAGTACAAAGAATTTTCTGCTTGATAGCTTGCTTAAACTCAAAACAATTGTTTAAAACAAAGCATTCCACCTATAGCCCCACTCACGTTTTTAAAAGAGTGGCCTTCTTGCTCTTGACAGCTTTTCTAAGTGGTTCCCTCAGGCTGATTTGGATGAATTCCTGTACTTCTGTGTGTATGGAATGCCGTATGGCCTCTGAAAACACTGGTTCAAGACGTGACATCAATCCATACAGACCTTTGATCATGGCAATGACCTAGTAAGAAACAGGAAATCCTCTTACAACAACCATTTTCACTACAACCACTACCAAAATCATGTCGCTAGCTTAAACTACTTTTAAAAAGTATGACAATGAGATTTTTCTCTCATAACCAATCAATCAATTAGATCAGCGTGCAAAGAAACTAGTGTCTGATGGAGAACTAACAATTTAGTAACATTTTGCTTATCAGACGGATAACGCACCAATCACTGATTACGAGTCTTTTAACTTAACCTGATGGGACCAATCAGATCAATAACCAGATGTTTTGAGACACAACCAACTCTGAAGATGAAAGAAAAGTCAACTGTCAAATCAAAAAGACTCCTGGGTTCAAACCTTTCACAATGAGATTTTTCTCTCATAACCAATCAATCAATTAGATAAAATAAAGAAATGGGTGTGAAGGAAAATAACAAAAGAGTCCAACCTCAACTAATGCAAACTTTTCATCACTGTTGTAGTTGTATCTTGTAGCCTACAAAAAATAAAATTTTAATGCAGGTTAACATTGAAAATGGGCCAGAAAAAAGCCTCTTACAAATACAGCTGTAGTTATAACTACTACTAACATAATACTGTTTTGAATGTACTTACTCGTTCATATTCCTCTGCCTCTTCAGGACAATGTGGATTTGCATACTTGTCTGTTGGATGAAGAAGTTTCCAGGAGTACTGGGAAAGAAGAAGAAGGACAAATTCATCACAGTACTTTATACAGAACACTGTAAATTTTTTGTACCTTAGGTGGTTTCTTTACTCCACAATTTAGTATACTAGGGTTTGTCAACTATAATTATTGTAACATGCTGGCACTTCATGACCCAAAGTTATGCATGCAGCAGCATATATTTAGTTCTTTAACAATAATTATCAATATGAAAGTCTGACAAAATTTATTATTTTAATCAGACTTCCATGTGCCTTTCACCACCTAGCTTTCAACCAACTTCATTACCAGTGATTGACATGTTTAACAGGCACTGCCGGTGCAAATTCATATTCCCAAAATTCATACATGTAGGTCACTATATTATATTATAGTGCAGTTTCAATATTGGATTATTAATACTAAGATACAAGGGAATGTACTCTCAAACAGAGCTGCCTGATGGCTCCTGGCAATTGAATTTTCCTTTGAGTTACCTGGAACCCTACACTGAAGATTGACTTTTTATAGATTTAAAGTTAAGGGGCTCCCTCAGTAGTTACATGTATTCTAGCCTCCTTTTAGTAACTATGAAGTCCTCTTACCAGTTCCATAACCTGAGCAGTCCATGATGACAGAAGTCTCAGCCCTCTAAGTGCCAGGCTGGTCAGCTCTGTATATTGCTCATCACTTCTTGGATCATTACTGGAAGTAATCATCTAAAAATAAATAAATAAATAAATAAGAACTAAGTGTGGAAAATAATTAGAAATAGTTCAAATAAATAAAAAATGAAGAACATAAGTTTAAATGATAATAAACCCGTTGAAAAATTGAATTTTTAAAAGGCTAAAGGCAGTTCACCTAATTTAATTACATTCAACATACATCATTTCTTCATTTTCAATAATTATTACAATATGTTTCCTTGAATAAGCGCCTGGCTGCTTATTTAAATTAATTTCAAGGAGGGTGCTTATTGGAAGGAGGGCACTTAATTGAGGGGGGTGGGGGGGGGGGTATACCTCAGAAATTTGAAGCATAACTGTTAAAGTTGAAAGTCATAAAATAAAGTGACAATACAAACAGGTTTTCCTCATAATATCCTGAATATTCAAGAAAGTCTCTTGGTGAAGGAGTGGGGATGAGGACACTTGTTTAAAAGGGGCATTTGTCTGATTTTTTGGTCTAAGGGATGGGCGCTTATTTGAGGAAACACGATTATGCCATGATGGATACCTCATTTCTGTAACGTGCCAGTTCACTGATAAACTTCACATGCTCCTCTCTTATGCTGTCCATTCTACGCAGCAGATTGTACTGATCAACAACTTTGTCATCTGCACCATCTGCTGCAGCAGTCCATTTCTCTCGCATACCTTCAAAGTTAGGGCACATCTTCAGGTAGCTAACCAATGCTATTTGGACATCACCAAATAAAGGCACCACTGGAAATTGCTGCAAACCAATGGAGAGAATTAAAAATAGAAATACAGTTAAACTTCCCCTAACGACTATTATGATTTTTTAAAAGTATAACATTACTGTAAATTCAGGAATGACATGAAAGGGCTTTCATGTACAACAATCTAGCAGGGCTAAAAATAGTTTTTGGATGGTGGCGGTACACATTAACTGGACAAAGAAATTGTTGCTCGATCAAGTCTTGTTTCTGACTTGTCAAAATATTGACAAAAAGTTTCTTGATGTAACCATAACTGACAACATTACTGTGCCAACAGTACAATAAAACAAAAATGGAAACACTTGTCTGCTTTATGTAACTTCAATGATTGTGATTGTCCATGCAATTATAAAGTTCTTAAGATTTAACATTAAATTCATTTTTCCTAAAATTAAACATTGTACATTTTGCAAAGTAAACATGACTGGCGAGTGAGGTTTTTTGGCCGGTCAAGTCTGCAGTCTGGCAAGACATTGTCTGTTGACCAGTTGCTACTTTGAGTCATCATCTACAGAAACTGGTAGCTGGAAACTGGATTGTTTCTCCATATTTGGTATAATTTTAGGAACAACAAGGAAAACAACTTATCAGCTAGAAACCTTAGCAAGTAATTATAAGGCTTCTCTTCTGAATAATAATTACATATCCAAGTCATCCTGTTAGTAATAAACTGTCTAGATGCCAGAATGCAGTTCATTTACAGCAATAAAATTAGGTGTTTCAGTCAGATTGTCGTGTCAATCTGAGTTGGAAAATTACATTATTTGATTGAAATTCTTGTAAAAAAGCTGTAAGTTCAGTCATTTGCAGGTTTTTTGAACATCTCGGTTGAAGAACTATTAACAACAAGTAACGAATGTCACAGAAAAGAGTTTAATTAATTCAAAGTTAATTACCTTAAACATCTTGTCTATTTTGCTCAGGCTGATTCTTTTCTTTTGATCCATCTTTAACACGCTACTCTCTTTACCATCCATCAGAAAAATCAAAAAGCCCATAACCTGTATAAAAATAATCATTGAAAGTTAAAATTTTTAAAGAAATTGAAGTAGCAAGTCCTAGCCATTATAAATAAAAATGAAGACTCCATTCAAAGTTCAAGGTACTGTTTTTAAATTCACCATGTCTCAATTATTCCTGACTACCTTTCATGATTGTAGCATGTCAAAAGGCAGGGATGTGAAGAAGGGAAATTTGTTCATGACTGGTGGCAATTGTTTTGTCACAAAGATCTTGTAAAAGGTTACCCAGTTACACCCAAAGCTGAACAGACCACAAGTCTGCTGCAGGGTTAACCTCCAGCAATGTTACATATTATTATCATGCCTTGTCCGGGAAGAGAGAGGGAGAGAAGGAGGAATGTATGGAGGAATGTCATTTTGACAAATTTTTTAATGTTACCAAGTGAAATATTGAGAAGTTGTAGTCAAACATTAACTGCTACGCATGCAGGAATGCAGATTTGAATTTGACACTAGTTATGTGAATGACTAACGGATTTCTTTTTCAAATAATCAATTCACTAATAGAATCTATAAGGGTACGCTTGACCCGGCTTGACTGTCACACACCTTCAAAAGTAGGTGTTTCTCCGTGGGAGTTATGTACATGTTGCTCTCATGCAGTCGAACACTTTGGTTCAGTACATCTGCCAACACATCTTCATATCCCTGAATGGTCTCTAACCCTTCTTTTAACAAGAACGTGATTTTGTTTTGATTTGCAAGGAACAAGGAAAGATTCTGTGACTCTTCAATCATCGATACATCACCAGTGCCACGTCTCAGAAATGTGTCGGCCCTGGAACAATGACCCCAAAACAACAAACAATAGTTAGTATTATTTTTCTAAAGACATGAATGCATGGATGTTGCCCTGGGTACCAGAGGTCTTTTTCTCACATGTACACGTAGCAGGATGCTTTTGGTGTCAGTCTCTTAACTTCTCACTCCCTCCAATAATTATTACAGAAACAAATTAAGAACAGACTGCAAGCCTTAACATTGCAGGGTCTGAAAATGAGAGCTGAGCTGGTGACTAGAATTTTAAACAAGGTGACACCAGCGGGCAACGGAAAAGGTTTCCCGTCCAGTCTTTCCTTTAAGGATTGAGAAATCATCAACATTGTAGCCTCTTTATAAATCAGCTGAAGAGAACAATAAAGGCAAATATCATAAAATATTGCAAAAATTTAATCCACAACAGCTTTTTTTCTTTTTGTTTCTTTCTTTATCTCATTCTTTTTTGTCCTTATTTTTTCTGTCTTAATAGTCTTTGCAGAATGAAGACAATGATTGTGACTTAGACATATTTCTTTGCTCATGGACAAATTTTAATTATGTATCTTTATTAATAATAATTGGAATTTTCCTGAATTTTAACTGTGTTGTGCAGCTAAGTTATAGGAATTATATGATAGTTACAAACTGAAATACTAGTATTAAACATTAATTTTACCTCTTATAGAAAGCATAGTCATTGTTCAGACAGGCCTTCATGTTCTTCAAAGCATCCAATACAGCAAACATGTTAATGAATTTCCCAAGAGTCAAAAGATACCTCTCTGATATGAAATCTTTCCTTCTTTCTGGGTGACTGAGAGTTTTTACTTCCTTGCAAAACCTAGCAATGGCATTTTGTGCAAAATGCATGAAGCTTTTTAGTTTGCGAACCTCTGGCTCAAGAACTTCAACTGTCTTTTCATAGATTTCAATTCTGTTTGGTTGATCATCACTTTTAACCTGCCAACAGAAAAATGGAGTAAAAATTTAAAGTAAAAAAAGTATATAAACTAAGTGCAACTCATGGTCATAACCAGGAAACAGTCCGAGGTTAATTTGATGAAAGTGTAACCATTGTTTTAGAGTCTGAAAACAATAGTTACACTTGTAAGTTAGCCTTGTAAAAGTTTCATCAAAATGAACCCAGGTTTTTGTGCAATGAAAAATCTTTGTACTAGCAGAGCAGTAACCAATTCCTTGCAACCTAATGGAATTTACCAGCACCTAGAAACTTAAATCTTTAATAGTGACAGCCCTGTGTCAATGTGATAAGATGCCCCTATTCCCTTCATTGGATGCTTGTCCACCAAAATGTACCCCTACCAGTTTCCTTCAGTTACCTGTTAGCATTGTTAAAGCCATAATATACTGTAACACAGTTATTCAAGATTCGTAGTCATACAGTTCCCTGATTAGATGAAAAGAAAAAAATTCACTTTTAAAACTGTACAACATTATTTTAGCCTGTGCCACAGACAAAACTGTACCCTGATTATTAACATCTGTCTGTGAAGCAGTGCCAAACTCCTTGTTATGGCCCCCACAGGTATACCAGGATTTGAGTACAAGCCATGATTGGCCTGTTAAAAAAAGACATTGTCCATTTACCAATCAGGATAAAAGGAAATTTCGAAACACACTTTCAGTAACTTCTTGAGTCCGTTGGGGGTCCAGAATAAAGATCTCAAGACTGCTTCGCAGATGTTACTAACTGACGTTAAATTACTTCTGCGATGCAGGCTATACAACATTGTGGTTGACGAAAATTATTATTAACAAGACCACAGCTTTTTTATCAACTAAAAATAAATTACACTGAGTAACATTTAAAGCTACTGCTGCAAAAAGTTGTGGTGTAGAACAAAATAACTATTATTATTAACAGGACCACAGCTTTTTTATCAAATAAAAATAAAATACACTAAGTAGCATTTAAAGCTACTGTTGCAAAAAGCTGCGGTGTAGAACAAATACTTACCGAAGGAACAGCACGAGAGCAGCTTCTCCACGTGTATAACATCACAGCATACTTCTCACCTTCTTCAAGCATCTCATTCTACAAAGTGAAATAACATTAAGGGTGAATAATAGAAGTATGTTTAATTGAAGGATTGTAGGCTCTTTGGCTAGATTTTGGAATACCCGGCCCACTAAATTGCTAACTTCAAAAACTGCTCCCACAGTCAAACAGTCATCCGATTTGAGTAATAAACTCTGACATTGACTGCGGGAGTGCAAGACTGTGGGATAGTTACTTGACATTGACTGCAGGAGTGCGGGACTGCCTGAGCACTTGTCTTACTCCCTTAGATTTAAATATTTGGCATAATAGAACACGACTGCAGGACTGTGAGAGCAGTTCTTCAAGTAAGACATTTAGTGGCCCGGGTATTCTGCAATCGCCCCTAAATCCTATGACTGGCCTCTAAATTCCTTGAGCTGTATCATTTCAAAATAAAAATAAAAAGATGATCCGTAATATAAAGGACGTGTACTTTTAATTTTTGTATTAACATCAAAGACGTTTACAGAATACACTACTGACAATAACATGTCATTCAGGGAATATTACGCCGGCTCGAACGAAAGCAGACAAGAGCAACCATGAAGTCCAAGCTTCGCTCCTAAAGCTGGCACTAACGACCCACACGAGCCTTAACTGAGTTCAGTTTCACGCCAGCTCTCGTACTCGTTAAACCACCGGCTCAATGCTTGCCAAGAGCAGTAATCAGCTTAGATATTTTATGCTAAATCTTATATTTTGAAGGAATGACAGAGTCACACCTACCAAGCCCTTGTGTACATCCGCTTCTTCTAAATACTTGCTGATACATGTTATAAAGGCCTTGCTGTCTTCAAAATTTGTGTCGAAATTTGAAATGTAAGTAACAGAAGCAGGAGGTGCTTCGATTTGAGGTTGTTCGTCCGGTAGACTGATGGTTTCAAGCTGACGGACATTGCTGATCCCATCTTCCAGCGTCGCCATCTTTGTTATCTCCCAGGATGCCTTTCAGGGCGAGGTTGATTTCCGCTTCGTTGGTTTTAAATATTACCCCACCCTACAAAGTTTCACGACATCCGCAAGTCACGCCACCCATAAAAGAACTGTGATAATACCATCAATGGGTGGATGGGACGTGTTGAGGTTGGTTATCTTGATACCTTGTCCGATTATTAGATTGTTGCCTGATAAAGTATTAAATTGAGACGCAGGTCCCTCAGGATCACATGACCTTGTACCTAGTGGGGAGGGGGTAAGGGAGAAGGCTATTAACATGGGGCTATAAAGAGCAAAACCGTTCATACGAAAATGAGTAAAATGAAAATAATTTTAATGAGAGACTCTTACACTCTTATTGTTTTAGGGAAAGAGGCTAGGGACAAATTGGAATAGCCTATTATCACCCACACATCTAGGAGATGGGCCTAAAGGGCTTGGTCCCCCCCCCCCTTATTTTTAGGCCAATAGACCATTTTACAGTTGTGAACTTAGTACCCTAGCCTTCGGGTGAAAGTGAAGCCGACGGTGACCTTGTTTTGATACAAACCTGCTTTGCTTTTTTATGGAAATTGTCCTTGAAAAATACTAGTTAGCATAAGAATAACTTGATTTACATAACAAAGCAGGAAGGTTTGTATCAAAGCAAGGTCACCGTCAGCCTCGCTTCCATCCATAACTGTAAAATGGCCTATTAAGCCCGCTGGTCTAGCCCCTCTATTATCTCAGGGTCTTGATGAGTAGGCCCCCCAGTTAATCAAAAATCTGAATCCACCACTGAATAATTTATGTATCATTTTATTAGTTTCATCAAGCACAGAAATTAGTATTTAATTTTCTTTTCATTTAATGAGATAGTTAATAATATTTAAATTACTGTATTTAAATGCTTGAATTAGCAATGCCCCCCCCCCCCTTTAAATAAGATAAACACAACCCTCCCCCAACAAAGAAGATAATCACATGTATTATGGTAAAATAAATATTATAAATAAGAAAAAAATGATCTCCATACCAGAAATAGGACTTTGAGAGTGACCACACCCAGCTCAGTTATTTGGTTCTTCTAACAGGGTTCACACTTTTTGTTTATTTGAAATTCTTACAATAATATTAAACACTAAGAGAGGAAGACCTAGAATCACGTTTTCCACTATCGGAGAAATCAGAACAGCGATGCTAACTATAACATTTTAAGGCTGAAAAATCAAAAAACAAAATAAATATATTTTATAAAGCAAGTGAGGAAGAATCATCTACCAGAAATCAAGCAAAAAAAATAGCTTTATTACTGATGAATTTGAAATGCACAAGGAGACATTCAGATCAGTTCATATGGAAAAATAACAAAAATTGAAAATATGCAAAAAATTTCATATGAATTAACAAGTGACAACCATTTCAGTGAGATATGAGTAGAATTAATTTTATTATTCATAATTGCACCTGTACAAAATTACATGAATTAAAGCCAGATAAACTCCTGCTGACTATCTATATACAGTGCAAGTATCATCACTGACTTGCTAAATACCTGCCACAGTAGACAGGATATTTTTGACACCATTATTTTCACTGCCACCTGATGGTCAAGATCAACACCACTTGAAAACACATTTCAGTCAATCAAAGGTTCAAAACCCATAGGGATCAGGCACTCTTTGCGTCATTTGTTTGACAGAAATATATCCTCAAGCAGTTTTGAATGTAACCTGCGTAGCATGCACTGTTTTTTTAAACGGGCCGTGCAAGGGGAACACGCAAAGGGAAGAGGAGGCCCTGGCAACAAAGGCCCCCTCTCCTTTTCTCCCCTCACTCGTCCTCAAGATTTCTTCCTTCGCCCTAAAAACCCGGCTCCTGCTTGAATGGAGGTTACCGGTATGCTTAAACTAAAAAAAGAATAAACACTGCCATTTTTTCTCTGAAAAGGTAAGGTCATTATCAAAGGAATAGCATCCCTGGTATTGATTAAAGTAAAATTGTTTACTATTAGTAAGTATTTACAGTTTTCTGTTCACCTTTTTTTTGTTTTCATTAAAGACACACCTGAGTACATTCTTTCATTATTTATGTATGAAAACTAGCATTCCTAAAATGTTTGTAGAATGACAACCATGAAGATTGGATCTCAAAATAATTTAACCCTTTAAGGTAACTCACTGCCAAAAGGCACCAATTAAAAAAAAAGCCAAAGGGAAGAGAAACGCAACTTCTGTTTCCATATTATATCACACAGATTTCGGCTTTGCCTTGATAGGTTTACTCACAAAGTACCAGCGCAACAAATCCAGGAATGAGAAAAAAAGGCTCTAAAGAAAATAATATACAAGAGGGAACATTTAAGTGGATTAACACAGATTGATGGTGACGTGAGATCTGGAAAATCTAAAAGAACAAAAATCTTTTTAGAATATTGAGGTGTAGTTTTCTTTCAAATGGACAAAAATAACTTTCATTTCAACTTAAAAAATCCATTATTTTTAACTCTGCGATGTGGCAGTTATGACCATATGCCTCTAGGTCTTCTATGGTGAGGAAATCTGAGCCTTCTTTTAAGGCACTTCTTGAAATGTACAAATGATTCAATGATAAAAATGTTGAGATAACTGGGCCGGTCAGTGTAAAACGCAGAATGCAGACTAATGTTTTCACCATGCAAATGACTATGTGACAACAATAGTCCCACTGTTTTCTAACCCTAAAAACAATAGTCAGCAGTCTGCATTTTACACTGCCCCTAACTGGGATAACTTTGGTTGAGATGGGTTAAAACAACCCACTGGGGACCCTTACACATATACACAGCTGTATTATTATGATGGACTAACCACCATAAATACTTCTGTTATTTTACTGACAGAATAATATAACACAGCACGTTAGAGTCAGATTATGTGACTTATTTGTTTGTTAAGTTATCTGGGGTTGGATGACCTTCCCCTCGCCCCCATCTATGGGGCATCCTTTTACAAGGTTCATGCTTTTGCTGATGTAACAGTTTTGGAAATCGGGGTGGAACTGGAAGGGGGGAGTGTGAATTTTTTGTGGAAAAACCCAATGGCCAATTACATGGGTGATTTATTGTGAGATTTGCACAGACCAAAAGCAGGGAACAGGCAGCACACCCAAATCATGCACATAAATAATCAGCAATTTAGACATGATTTATCACAACAAATCACCACAAATGTGATTAGTGCAGCTTGGCAATTTCTGTCTGCCTTATGTGTTTGCAAAGTTCATAAAGGTAGTGTCACAGATTCTACTCAAAAACGTGCTGACAGATTCTGCAAAATCAATGCTCCTCTCGCAAAACTAAACCATTCATGTAACTGGCCTTTAAATTAAGTTGTGGACTGCTACCATATGACAGTGGACATAATTCATATAATACTAGTTAAAGTACATCCCTGAAACGAATAATTGACATTACGGGGTTATGAGCACGATTGAATTATTAAAATAAATTACCATTCATTTCTCATAACAATTCACTATTTACACATAAATGCACAGGAAACAAAATAACATTAAAAAAAAATTACAAGTTTAAGAAAAAATCCATGGAAGCGAAAACCCTCTCAAAAAATGGATGCCAAAGGAATGACTACTAATAAATTCTCTTCTAGGTTGACTAATAGTTTTCATCAACATCATTTTACTATTGAATGACAAACAGACAGCTGGTACACTGTACACTTGAATGATTAACAGAATATTTTTAGTGTATGTTTTCTCAGAAAAGGTCATAGATGTGATGAATATTTTGAAGCTTAGCATTCTTGATAATTCACATTTGATAAACCCTTGGTCAATCCTGCACCACATTCAAGAAACTTACTTTGCACTGTTTAAGTGCCTCAGAATTATGTCGTACAGTGGAACCTGGATATAACGAAGGGCCAAGGGACTGGGAAAATTTGTTTGCACTGATGAGGTTTTGCTATATTGAGGTTCTTTTCCATATATTTTATTATTATTGGCGCAAAGAAAACTGTTTGTTATACCAATGACTTTGATATGTAGAGGTTCATTATATCAAGATTCCAGCGCACTGGACTTTGAATAATCAAGAAAACTGTTTTCATTCCTGTGTTTAAAGAAAGGCTCCACCTTGGAAGCCAGTTTATAAGAAAGGGTTATAAGTGTCATTCTTCAAATAAATTAAGAATTTTTTTCTTCCTACCATCCACACTAACAAGCAGGAAAAAAGGAAAACGCTAAAGAATCAAGGAAGTTAACTCCCAACAACTGCCCTACCCTACCCCTCAAGAAAACTTAAGGGTTGTTGATTATATTGGAAGATTATTAACATATGCACATGAAAACGTCACTCACCAATTTACTACAAGATGGTCAACATCACCACGAATCTGCATGCTGTACAATTTTACATTTCCGGACAAATTTGGAGCACAAGTCAGACATAAATAGTACGCGATGAAACCAGCACGCGCGAGTGAAATACGCCAAAGTGGTTAATTTCTTTAGTATCACTTATAAAGTGCTAGAATAATAAAATTCCACGAATCTATTTTACAAATGTATCCGTAAACAAATTACCATGCATGAATTGTGTCGGTCCCGCATGCTTAGGTAATCTGCATATAAAGCGACCGGCCACGCCAGTCAGCTGTTTAAAAAATCTCAATAAAAAATTCGGGGAGCTCAAACTATCAAGCGCCTGGAAGCATTCTCGCTGCTGGTCGGGCCGTTCGCGGCAGCTTCAGCTTTGCATTTTGTAGGCGTCTCGATCAGTTCGGGTTTGTCACCTTCGAGATGCCGGATTGCTTGAACGATCGTGTCCAAGTTCTGGCGTGAAGTAGCAAGCGCTTTTTGCGTCTTGTCGCTTGATTTTAACTTGGTCTCGGCAAGATCAATCTCAAGCTGTCGCTTCTTTTCCTCGACGTTAATCCGCAATCTCCGCTCTCGTTCCAATTGGCACCTCAATTCAATGAGCTCCTTTTGTATTTCTTCAACATAGTCATCTCCGTGTAGTAATGAACTTACGTTGTTGTTTTCTTCGATCTTGTTAGTTTCTTGAGCACGTGGCTCATGTTCCAATTTTGCCTTCTTTTGAGGTGATCGCTTTAAATCCGTCCCATTCGTCCCTTCTCTATCACACTGGCTGAGGATTCTTTTTAAAGTCGTATTTTGCTGCAAAAGTCGAGTCTTGTCTTGCTCCAGGGCGAAAATATACTCAGCTGTTTGCTGCAGTATTGCGGCCTGTTTACGAAATTAACATCACGAAATCAGTGCTTTGGTAAGTAAAGTTCCCCGAAACTACATTACTGTTCTATGATTCCTAATCGACTACTTATACTTAAAAACGTTCAAAAACAGACCTTGCTTAGTTTCTCTCCTTCGCTGTTTGGAATAAGCAATCTCAGTGCTTGGAAACCGGAGTTTATGCTTTGCATACGTCGTCGCTCGTTTGAGTTAGCAATTTCCCGCCGTAATTTTCGTTCCCGCTCTCGATTGTCCACCACTTCGACCTTGAAACTGCAGAAAACAGTAAAGAACAAGAGAACGAGCTATTTATCTTGAAAACTAAGATAAACAGAAAGAGGCACAACGTTTTACCTGCAATCTTCCTCGTTGTAGAGCTCGTCCATTTCGTACGATTTTCGTTTCTCTGCAGATCGTGAGTAAAATGACATTTCCTAACAGCTCCCAAGACAGTTACAGCTTCTCAATCGTCCTTATTTCAATCGAAGACTACAGTAAGCACGAAGCTTCGTTGCAATTTTTCGTAAAACAGAAAGCGAGTAAAGCCGCAGCCAAATCGGCGGGAAACAGCTGTCTTCCTCGATCAGGTGACCGAAAGCTGGAGTTAAAAATTTGAATGCAGCACAGCAGAGGAATGCCAAATGCTGGGGTGATAAGAAGATAACGACTGATCAGATTAACCTGGTTTCGCTACGAATAAACAACTACATAGGCAGTTTCTTTCCTAAAATCTAGTTGACCAATTAATGCAAGATACGTGATACGTAATAGATTTTATCTTATGTCTTTGAATCTGGCTTGATTTTTTCAGAATTTATCAGAGAAGATACAGAATTACTCTAGATCGATGATTATTTTCTTATTACCGGTTTTTCATAATACTTTTGTTTTTCGACCAATGAAACGGCTTTTCTTTTAATAGATCTATATTTACATTTTGTGTGTTATGTTCGTACGACCGTGACCCCCAGGGACCTCAATGCAGCAATTCGATCAATTCTCTGTTGAGCGATATTTGTTGTCTACCTTTTCAGCGATGGCTTAAAGGAAAACCATACCCCTCTTTCGACCAAATTGAGGATGAGCAGCGCAAAGAACAAGAAGCCAACAAAACGCAACTTTTTCTCCATCCCGTTATTTAGTTAGGGGGTGGGGTGGTTGTCCATTTATTTTAATGAACCTGCCAAAGCAATGCATGAACTTTGCCTGATCGATCAGCTGTTTAACTTAAGATTGAAAATTGCTTTGATTCAAGCCTAGTTTTGTTCCAGTCCATCGGAACGTCCTATCCAAGTTTGTATAAATTTTACCATGTTATCCATATTGGACATAATTTAGGGCGTTTTTCATGGAAACGAAGGTTGTGCGCAAAGAAGTCACCCGCGCTTTGAGTTCAGTTTTCAAAAATCGGGTTCGAAAGGATAGTTTCTATTGTTTTGAAATCTCTGTAGGATACCGTAAAATTCCGAAAATAAGCCCCTCCATGTATAAGCCCCTCCAACTATAAGCCCCCCAAAATGGTAACGCAAAAAACCCTCCGTGAAATCGTCCCTCCTAATATAAGCCCCGGGGGGGCTTGTACTTGGAATTTGCCCTCAAATACAAAGTAAAACAAAGCAAAAATGGTAAATTTCCTTCCCACTACAAGCTAGCCCAACTGATTTTGAAACGCAAATTTCCCTCCGTACATAAGCCCCTCCGAATATAGGCCCCTCAAAAAGGGCCTTTGAAAAATATAAGCCCCGGGGCTTATTTTCGGAATTTTACGGTATGTTAACAATTACAACTAAAAAGTAAATAAATAATTAATAAATAAGATTACAGCAGTAAGCCAGTCGTAAGAAGTGACAATTTCACTGTTGAAACTGCCGATGAGGCCCGAATCTCTTTATGAAAAGACAATAGATCTGTAGCGAACATTGCAAGTGGGTTTACTTCTTAAGTTGGGTAGAAGAAGAGTCTGGAGTTTTTGACACTTTCATGCACAGACATTTAACAAATAACTTGACCTTCTTCTGACATATGTTTTAAAGTAGACATTGAAGATTTTTGACAATAATCGTACACACTGATGTTCTTTAATTCAAAAGCATGTTTAACAGCATGTTTCGTACATGAAAAGAAATGCTAGTGGGTTCCCATGAATTTTCACGGAACCAAAAAATTGTTACCGATGGTTTCATGATCTGGGCACAGTCGCACAGAACCGAAAAATTGTTTTCCATGGGATTTGAAATCCTAGAGCTTGAAACTCAGATTTTCAGAAAAAAATTCTGTATACTGATGTCCGTTTGAAGACACCGTACAGCCTTTATAGTAGTAAGCTCTGCAGTAAAATAGCTAGCCAGGCAAATGTCAGGCTCGAATACGGTAGTAGAAAGACGAGCCTCGGCAAATGTTCGCTTCGCGTGGGCGCTCGCGGGGACAACACGCACGTGATAAGAGGAAGGCGCGGTTGCCAAGCCTTGAAAAGCTATGTTCTGTTCTGCACAGGGGGAATGTATTAGAAGGATTAGACTTCAAATTTCCGTCAAATTATAGCGTTTCGCGGTAAGTGCCTTAACGTTTTAAGTATTTTGCTATAGTTTTAGCCTTCCTTTGGAGAGATCTTAAATTCTGACCACAAACTTTGGAATAGCGTGATCAAAAAGTGAACATTTTAAACGACGTACTGTGGGAATAGATTAAGCTTACCTGCAGTAGTAATGTCATTTCCCATCAATCAAAGTTTTAATAGATACCGATCGCTTAACACATCTTCACCCGGGAATTTCCAGCCGGATAATTGCATTGTTGAGCCTTAAATTTGACAAATTAATCTGAGATAGGTTTTGCAGGTCAATGTGAATATAGCATTGATGTGCGTGATTAGACTTTATAGACAGGAGTGAAATGTATGGCCGTTGTTACATCCAATACCGTAATTTTATTAACGGCAAATTGTTTTTGAAGTATAGGCAGTGTTATAGTAAATCGGAATTCGAAAATTCGAGTTCTGCATCATATGTATTATTTCCATGTGTGTTTATAGATGACACATTGAAGAGGAATTCGTATTTTTTATATGTCGTGCTTGGTTATTAAAATTCTTGTACTTCATTAAGCTTGTGACTTAAGTTCTTGGTTTAAAAAGATTGAAAGTCATAAGCCGTGTTATTCAATAACATAATCGGATTTTTGGATTTTCGGGTTTTTCTCTTAAACACATTTGCAGGAGCAAAAGTAACAAAAATTAATTGAAATGCTGTAATTTTTTAAAGTCTCACTCTCTTAAGGGGAATTAAACTCAGAATTCATTTTTTTGACTCATGGTTATGCAAAGCAGAGTTGTAAGTTTTATGTTATCACTCACTCACTCACTCACTCACTCAGGTGTAGACACTTTATTATAAGTCAATCCCAAACTTGAGAGCACCAGTGATATGAAATTGAAAATGGCCCCTTTTTCATTGTTGCTGAAGTTGACTGCAATCAAAGTTTGCTCTGAGGATAGGAGTTCACCATAAATGTAGTCTTATGCCCCCTTTATATGGAGAAAGGTCATTTCGTGTATGTTTAGAAGGGTCACCTTCTTACCTGAGCTCCCATGGGCAAACCAACTTTTGATACATTTCCTTACAAACATGGTTAACTCTTTACATGAGAAACAAAAAAATTGGCTTGGCTAGAAAGGTGACTCCCATAACTGGATTACCCTTTTGTGATCGTAGGGTCCTTAGCAAGGCACATTTTTCTCCATATAAATGCCTTGGCTCTCCCAGCTGGGTCAATAGAATCATTGGCAAGACAATAAGAGCATGTATGAGCACTGTCTTAGACAATCAGAGCATGGGCAAGTGCTGTTGGTTTGGGCAAAGGGGTCAACTGTTTTCTTACATCAACGCTTGTTAGATTTGACTTGGCTGGGAGGGTGACCCTTTTATCATTTTTTCCATATAAAACAGGTTGTTATTCCTTATATAAATGTCCTGGCTTACAATTATTATGAAGAACAAATTAAAATATTCATTTAGTGAACTTGGTACCATAATTATCCATAATACATGTATATTTCTCAGCGCTCAACTTTGGGTGACCACTCATTCACATTGGTAGCCCCCCTAACAGGCTTACTGCATAACTATAAAAATTAACTGTACCTTAAAAATTACCTAGGTTAAAAAAAATCAACGTACTGGCTGAAATCAAATTTGACCCGTAACATTCACGTGATATTATTATTAGCAGGAGGCCATAGTAAATACCACTTCTGCTGAACTGAATGACAGCTTTTAACAACAATCCTACGGAAATGGTTTGTCATGCAGCCCTGTATAACATTTTTGTGTTCACCTCACATATGATGTTATTTAATTGACAGATGTCAGATGAATTGGACAGTAGTGATCAAGAATATTCAAAATTAGACAAAGAGAAAGAAGAGGAAAAAGAAGTTCGGGTTGAAGTGCAACTTGAAAAATGCACTGCCAATGCCTTAGCTGTAACGTCTGTCTCCGAAATGCTAGACCAGGGTGATGTCACCTCTGTCATAACAAGTCTATCTGCAGAAGATTCTGTTCTTCACAGTCAGTCAGTTCTTAATGAAGCAGAAACCATTGCCTCATCAGGTGACTTGGAAAGCTCACCCTGTCTGTCAGACACACCTGTGTCATCTGACCTGCTGTCTGATTCACCCACCATCAGTTCAACTGTAGGGCTTCTTCATCAGCCAGTTGTCTTAACTTCTTCTGTACTGCCTTGTGTGTTGACGCATGTTCAAGGGACATCAGAACTTCTCACTGGTGAACTGCATGAACAGGAAAGTCAAGAGGAATTGTTAATGGTAAAAGGAGAGGATAGAGAAGTTCTGGAACCTTGTGTTGTGGTGAGTCATGAAAGAAACTCTTAGTACAGTTAAACCTCCATGTGTAACCACCTCTCGTAAGCGACCACCTCCCTTAAACGACCACCCATCCAAAACACCAAAATTTTCCCAGTCAAAGCCTTACAGTTGGAACCTCCAGTAAAAATAAAAAAAAAACCCCTGTAAGCGACCATAACCACTTTTGGGCCTTACGGTTAATGATTTTCCATTGCTTTTAACCTCTTGTAAGCGACCACTTGACGCATTCTCTGATCTGTATGTTCGCTGTGTGTACTATGAAGATATGAAGAACTTTAGTGGCAACATGTAACAACACATGTCGTACCTGGACCTCTTCTCCGAACGGAGGCCCCCTGTGGTTCAAATCTTGTAAGCGACCACCTTCCGTAAGCGACCACTCAGTCTTTGCATTTTGGGTGGTCTCTTACGAGAGGTTCGACTTTAGTACAATGTATAGTGTCTAACCTATACCCACCTACTTTTATTCAAGGAAAAGGCATGAAATTTTTATGCCGAGAGTCCCAGCATTTTTCTAGAGAGCCCACCTCATCTTAAGATGTCCAAGGTTTCCCAAAGTTCCTAGTTCCACTGCTTTCTTTTCTAAAATCAGAGTATTTTTGGAAAGTACTATCATTCATACTGACTCTTCTCAAGTTGGTTCACGTTTATTGTGCTTTATAATTATGTAAATTTTTCCTGCCTGATTCATGATCAATAATGGTCTTCAGGTATGGGGGCTCCTTGAAATAACCCTTTGGAGTGTTTTGATGTCAAGATGTCATGTTATCATAATATCGTCTCCTTTTCATTCCCCTTCCACTAATTTGTATATGAATTTTGTTAAGAATAACTTGTTGACAAAGTCAGTCAATTATTTGTTTTGTTTATTCTTTGCTAGTTTACAACAGCTGAGGCCATTCAGACAAGCAAATCATCTGACAAGAACTCATCACCAGCGGCAACAGATGTTGTGGTCACAAATCCATCTAGTCTAACCTACTTGCGGCAAATTTTTGATCCGGAGCAAGTAAGCCCCCAAGGCCAAATAGTGTCAGTTTTGCCCCATGGTATGACATCTCCACTTTCGCCAACTTTGCCAGAACTTCACTCATGCAAATGGGATAATTGCTGTCATCACTTCTTGTCTCTAGAGGATCTTGTCACTCATGTCAATGATAGCCATATAAGGACAGAAGCCAGTGAATACTGTTGTTTATGGCAGGGGTGTCCCCGTAATGGAAAGGGCTTCAATGCCCGGTACAAAATGTTAATACACATGAGAACACATACCGGTGAGAGACCCCACACGTGTACACATGACTCTTGTGGCAAGAGCTTTTCACGACTAGAAAATTTAAAAATTCACACAAGGTCGCACACTGGAGAGAAACCTTATGTCTGTCCAGTGGCAGGTTGTAACAAAAGGTACTCTAATTCAAGCGACAGGTATAAACACACACGGACACATTCAGAGACCAAACCATATCACTGCAAAGTGGCAAACTGTTTTAAAAGATATACAGATCCAAGTTCACTGAGGAAACATTACAAGACTATTCACGGCAAGGATGTGATTTCTGAGGAACAAGAATGATGTACATAGTATGATTAATCATGGAGTGGGGTTGGTAATTAATTTTTGCAATTTCTCCTACTAGGTGTTGGCTTACAACTAGTGAACCTGAGTTGACTTATGGCACCGGGAGGTACTTTAGAAATGTTTGGGTAGGGGTGTTCTGCTGGGACCCAGGAACCCTTAGCCTATACCAGAACTAGTTCGACTGAATTATGCTACCCTAAAACTCCCAAAATCTCTTGCTATCCTAGAGGCACTATTTTCCAGAAATTACTGATGTTGACACTTTCTTTGCTATGTAACTGAGGTGCGGGTAAATTAAGATTTGCCAATTTCCTTTTTCTTAGTGTCAATCACTGGTTTCCCTTCACCCAGTTGATCAGTTTTTTTATACATTGTACCCTATCCCATACTACTAAACTGCTTGAAAATCCCCAAATCTTCACAGTGGCACATCCCTATATATCCCATATATGGCCTTACCCCTACCCCCCTGTGACCTATGGCTGGAATTTGTACCTGCCCACTGAACCATATGATAGTTTTTTGATACGCAGCAAATGGTCAGTTTTATTAATGCATGCCGAATTAGTTAAAAATTTGTTATATTCTACCTAGTTAGCCTGAGAAAACAGCCAACATTTGGTGATGCTACCACTCATTTCCCTGCCAAATGACGTCTGAGAAACGCGCGCAGAAATTCCATACTGATGACACGTCACTACCCAGATCTGGGTAGTGCTTCTGATTGTTCGTGCCGTGTGGGAAATTTGATTCAACCAATCAGGAGCACTACCCAGATCTGGGTAGTGACGCGTCATCAGTATGGAATTTCTGTGCTCGTTTCTCAGACGTCATTTGGTGGGGAAACCAGTGGTAGCGTCACCATATGTCAGTTGTTTTCTCAGGCTACTACCTAGTAAGCTTAGCTTTAAATTTTGCTGATAATAAAAAAATTAATCATAATCATAACAATAAAGAATTTTTCAACCTTATTGGCCTTTGACAGTGCTGATTACAGTAGCCTGAGTAGCAAGTATTTTTGCTCTCTTGTTCTCATTCTAACTTTCGCTCAATAACTCGAGCAGAAAAGGTTGCTACTAACACAGGCTATGATTTCAATATCAATAGGATGTTGCAACAGGTAGTAATAGACCTTTTTACTGATAAGGAGTATTATGGGATGCCCAGGGGGAAGAGCATGATCTGATATACTCGCTCAGTATTTACACATACTTTTCGCTGCAATTTTTCTTTAAGTTTTCTTAGAAAAAGATTGTAATGGTAAAAAGGGTCATTGAGCCATATTTGGATGTAATAATAATCACCTTTTTCCCAAGAAATATACAGTGAAGTTCTCTTTTGCCCAAAAAGCGCAAGTAAATACTGAGCGAGTGCCCCCTGGGCATCCCATAATCCTCCTTAAATCTAATAAATTCAATATGGCCACCATATCAGTAAAAAGGTCTATTGAACAGTATGTGCCATTGTGTGCATTGTAGTAGGACAGTGGAACTTGAAGAGTTTTTTATTATTATTTTCTTGTGGTCCATATACAGGGCTGTCTCAAAGTCTGTGGGCAGGCTGGCCCCGGTTGTTCAAACGTCGGATAGCGCTGTCCACCGTATAAATCACTATCCAGTGGATAGCGTAATTGGTTTCCATAATACTTATCCGCTGGATAGTGATTTATCCGGTGGATAGCGCTATCCAACGTTTGAACAACCGGGGCCTGGAGTAGAATTGAACAGTTAGGAATTTCTTTTGGTTCGGTTTTCCTTTTGTTTCCAATGGAAGTAGCCGAGGGGTCACGTTCATGCGGTCAAGGTATCTTTTCACCAGAAATCAAGACAGTCAAGTGACTCTGATCTGTTTTTTCAAGTTGACAATACATTTTCTTGTGTAATATTATACCCACAGAAGCACACGGTGTGCATTAATTTGCATGCTAGAGTTAGACTCTTGACCCCGTATCAATTCATAAATATTAAGACAGTACTATTTTATTATTAGCACCCTCTTCCTCAGACGGCAGCGACTTTTCTCCCTTTTTTCAGGTAGGCAAAGGCAAGTGTGAGCCACACATGGCATTTCTGGATCTCTATGCCAGCTTCGCACCTGTCTTTGCTCACCTGAAAATTGCAAGAAAACACTGCCTGTTCTACATGCCCGGGAGGGTAGTTCCTTACATAAGCCAAATAGGTATGTTCTGCCCCAAAGGGTATGGTTCTTGCGCCGTTTTGGTCTGAAAACAGGTATAGACTTTGCCCATTTTGGTCAGGAATTGGGTATGGTTTTCGAGGGAACTACGTTTCAGTTCAAAATGATTAACAAAGAATAAAAATATGCGAATCTAAGTAATAATGGTAGTCTTTACACTATAGCCTTTTAGCTAAGAAATATTTCAAGACAAGTAAATTTTAATTATTTCAAGTGAAATAAAGCTTCACACACAACCGATTCTTTGTTACTTCAGGTTAACTTAAGGCTATTTTCCAACGCAACATAATTAAGATTGATTGACATGTTTCGCCTTTCTCAAAGCTCAAGAAACTGCAAGTCTGCTAAGTCGGTTTTAAGGATTGTTTTCAAGTCGCTTGAAACTTTCTTGAATCGATCGTTTCAACTTTCCGACTTTAATGAGATGCAAAGTAAAGTTACTTGAGATTTTACTTAGGCCTTCACACACAAATTTTTGGTTAAGTAAAACTTAGCAGCTCTGAAGTCTTACTTAACAGCCTAGTGTAAAGACAACCAATGATATAATTTCCTAGAGGCCAGGTCTGAAAACGGGTGTGAAAAATTCCATTTTTGTCTGAAGTAGGATCAGGATTTGGAGAACCGGGCGGCACACCCCCATTAAGAATTCCCAGGATACCCCCCTCCCCTGGGTCTACAGGCTACTGCTTGCCATTAATGGGCTTGATTTGATTACACAGCCCTTTTACTTCTATAGTCCTTGTAATGAGGAGACTATTTGTCATGCTAACTGTAGAGACACAGTCAGCTATAGGACCGCACTTACCTGGGCACTATTTTTGCCAATTTGAAAAGCGTTTACCTCAAACCGAAATCAAATGTACGCGTCGGATACATCTAGAAATCCGCTTCAACCTTGCCTAGTACAGTGTTCATTCGATCCTCGATCTTTTACAGAAAACCTCTTTTTGAGCAAACGTTACGTAAACGTTAACTCATCCTACTACATTATTTTATCATATTTGGTTTAAAACAGTATCCAAAGAAACATGAACAGAAAAGGTGAGAAACCCGTAGGCGCCTTCGCTTACCAAAACAGCAAAAGAGATGAATCAATAACAATGGCGAGCAAATAATCGTTATATATACTTGGAAATTCGATGGAAAAGGTTACATATGTTTGGAAAATCAAGCTTTCTTCGACTTTGATTTATGCCGGCTCCGTGTCATTTCTTACCGCCACTGATGATCGAATTCAGAAGTATTTCGTTGATGTCAGTGGCTTTCCCTGGATAAATCTCTATAGTCTATAAAAAAAATGATTGCTCTGCTATGGCTTAGGGTCTATAATCAAGATTTCGGTTGTAACTGGTTCAACTCCACAAGATTTGTTTAGATACCGTATTTATTCGATTAACCGCCCTGGCAGCTTATTAAATTTTTGGACCTTGAGAGTGGGCGCTTATTCGAGGTGGACGCTTATTCGAGGCTGGGCGCTTATTAAATTTTCACTATTTTCGACAAGTGTAGTTTGTTAATTTTGCAAAAAAACAGTAAATGGTTATAACAAAACTCGAAGATGTAACAACGCAAGGTTTCTGCAAAACACTTTTAAGAAAACTCCGTTTTCGGGGAAGTATCAAATTACGTACTTATTCCTTTTCTGGGGGATGGTAGGGGGAAGGGACTGGGCGCTTATTTGAGTTTGAGTGGGAGTAGGAGGGAGGTGGGGTGGGGTGGGGGTGGGCACTTATTCGAGGCTGGGCACCTATTAACTTTTTTTGCCTTTAGAATGTGCGCTTATTCGAGGTGGGCGCTAATTCGAGGTTGGGGGCTTATTCGAATAAATACGGTATTCCAGTTATCTGAATTTTGGAATACAAGTTTATTGTTTGATTTAAATTATAAATTTATTAATGGGATGCGCTTCTCCCTATCTGTTTCACGCGCGTGTCTTGAGATATGCAAATCAGCCAGACCGGTTACAAATTAAGCCGAGTGGCTCTGGGGACGAGAATGCAGCCAAACCGGCTAAGAAATGGCATGAAATGCGCATGTGCATCAGCTCACCGTGCATTCTCGACCCCAGTGCTTACGGGTTTGGGTCTCTCTCCTCTACATGCGCAGAAGAGCTCTGGGTCGAGATTGTTTAATGTGTGGATAAAATCCTATGGTGTTTCCATAGAGAGAAATTTTGCACAGTATTACAGTGGGGATGGGGAATTTGGCAGAAAGAAAATTGATTTTTTTGTAAATTCTGTTCTTTGGCTGTTAATGGGAATGAAAGAGTTAATTATGTTTGTATATATGTGGGGTAGACCTTTAAAATCAATGAAGCTCCTCTAAGAAGGACACCTTTGAGTTAGAGTCATTAAATATCAACTTCGTACTTCCACAGGCTTAAATTTTTATTTTATGTCTTAAGCTAATTAGTATTTTTGAAAGACATGAATGATTAATCGAAGAGTGCGTTTTCACATGGTACTAACAGTCAAGCGCGTACAATTAATTGACCACAAGAAAAAGCTCTGAACTGAAGATTTTACGGGTCACACGCCTCCTTTTGGTGACCATTGAACCATTTTCTTTTCTTTTTTTCATATTTTCAAGTGCCTTATTAAGATAAAAAGGAAAAAGATGAGTCCCTCCGCGAATTTCTCGCATTTCCTACTTATAATTTTGGCGTTGTTAAAGGGATTTCCTTACCTTAAAGGAATCGAAAGCGCCAATGTTGTGGCCGAAAATTACAGTATCAGGGTGGCTTCACAGTCCAGTGCAAGGGTTCTTGAAGACGAAAAGGAGACAAGGATTTCAGAAGCACTGAACCCGGTACTAGTACTAGACAATACAGTGAACGTTAGAGAGCTCTTAAAGGAAGACCCATTCTCACAGTGGACCTATAGATCAAGGTGGAGTGAGTTAAGTGACTTGGAACTTACTAGCGATTCAATGTCAAAGGCTATTCAAGCAGGTAAAGCTTCTCGTCTAAAACGGGTTCTTTTAAAAGCCTTAGCGGGTAAAAAAATCAACGTTGTTATTGTTGGAGGCTCGAACAGCGCTGGAGGAAAGTTAGGTGTCGATGAGGGAAGTCTGGATGGTTTATACTTTAACGTTTTCACGAAATGGTGGAATGAGACCATTGCCAAAGCGACAAACGCATTTGTGACGGAATATGGAGTGACTATCGGCGGAACGGGCAGTTACGTGTTCGCGTTTTGCTACAAAACATTTATCCCAAGAGACCTAGACATTGATATTGTTTTGATCGAAGCTTCTATTAATTTCAACATCCGCGGCAAGGCCGAGCCCCTGGAACAACTAACTCGTCAAGTCCTCTCATATCCATCAGCGCCAGCAGTATTCTACATTAATCTGGTCAGTGGTTTAGGTCTTGACCCGACAACTCAGAAGGTCATTAATCCCCTGTGCACTAATCTCGAGAATTTTAGACAAACTGAGCTGGCTCATCACTATGGAATATCCTCATTCAGTTTGAAAGAGGTTCTGTGTCGCAAGAAAGACGACGGATGGGAGGCAGCAGTCACTAATTTGGCAGGCTCGGATGGCCGCCATATTGGTATCAAAGCGCATGCCCAAGTTGCCATAATGATTATCGAACATGTGCGTGGTGTCTTCAAAGAGGTAATCAATGACGTCACAAACAACGTCAACGCAAACGAAATCGCCTCTTTAGCTTTACCGGAACTTTTCTTTTTGAAAAGTAAAACTGAGGCTTTGAGTGATCCATTGTGTTGGACCGGGTTGACGCCCGATGTTTATCAGTCTCGTCAACGCTCAAATCTCAAGCTCGACGTTATTGAAAGCAAAGGATTTTACCGAAAAGGAGGCTCGAAAACAGAGCAGTATTCTGATGGCAATAATAAAACTGATTTACGCACCGACGCCCAAGGAGGCTGGACTGCGTGGAACGAACATTCAATCCTTAAGCTGCGTTTTCTGGTCCCGCCGCTTAATTCGCAGACTATCCCTGAATCTCGGTCAGTGATTGTTGTGGCTCACACTTCTGGTTACGGTGGTAAGGCAAAGTTGTGGCTGGATGATAACAAGGATCAAGCAATTTACGTCGATTCCAAAGCGAATTTTGGAAACAATCTGTTAAACACTGTTGCCACAAGGGTGGATCCAGGGTATCACGTTGTCACAGTTCAAACCCTTCGCTGGGGAATGTTTATGGTTAGCGGATTGTTTGTCGGTCCGCCAGATTTCAACAGGCGAGAAGTACTATAGTTGAACTACCTTATTATTTAATTAGGAAATCTATTGCTTTTTTAGAAAATTTTCTTCCTACTAGTAGCTTGCTAGTTGAAAGCTATACTTGCGAATTGCGATCAGGACCTGGTTAGTGTTATCCGGTTTAGTTGTTCGCTTTTCCGCAGTCGCCGGAATCCACAAATCCGCTGGCGGACAGCACTTTTTTTTAGTGTCAAGGAGAGCACATGAGTGCTATGAAAGTTTAAGACAGCCGGCCTTTGCTGATTGTCAAAGCGAAAAGGGAACCATTACTTGAGGAGAAAAATGATGTACACGCTAAAGATTCTCGAATGCAATGAAATATCGACACCACACCAAATGACAAAAAAGAGAATTGAGGAATTAGGTTCGCGTTATTTTTTTATAAGCAATATCTTCCTGTTTCGTTTGGAATATTTAATATTGGCCTTAAACTGGGGGTGTGCATTTCCTTGTCTCTACACTTTCGTGCATCTTTCACTTGTCGTGATTCTTACCTTTTTTTTTATCACTGGAACCATTATATTCTGGTTTTTTGCTCCCCAAGATTCAGCCTCGGCGAGGCTGAGGTGCAGTTTAGTAATACTTTGGGACATCCTCGACCCCAGGGAAATGCCTTGGGGACGAGGATGACTTGGGGGCTGTCCACCCTTGGAGTCCGAGAATTAGTGCAAGGGCACCCTCACAAAATGGTGTTGTGTTAACACCTCGAGTGACCCCCGATACGTAACTGTGTATATAATGTCTCCCCATCCGACGAAATTTTTCAAACTTGAGCTTCGATTTCAAGTGGGTACAAAGCAGTTGATTGTCACTGAACTAACAAAAAACAGTGTGCACACAGAGACCCGATGCCTTATTTAGTACCCAAGTGCAAAGTCTCTCAACCTCGTATATTCGGGCACGTTCACAGTGCCCGAAGTCGAGTGTTGGTACTTAAAAATAGCGTGAGTTCACATTAGCGCCCAACGAGTACCGTACTCGAGCATCGTGCCAGGGCACCAAGAGTAAACGCTGAAGCTGACGCCGTCAAACAATAAACAGATGAACTGAATCCTGCGCTGAATCCAGAAAAAGGAGAATTGACTGGTGGCCAGGTGGCTTGGTGCACAACACTTTCACTTTCAAACTCTTAGATTTTTAATTTAGACTGTTCACGGCTCCCTATTTTTCCGTAACGATCGTCGAGACCGAGCGCTTTTTGTTACGGGCGCGCATGTTGGTTTCAAATGTTCCAAGTAATAAACCCCCGTCGCCCGTCTTTTTGGTACATTTCAGTGAAGCCAAGATGGCCGCCCATAACTGCGGCGAAGCCCTCAACCCAGACGATCGTACGCAAAAATGGGGAATTGTGAACAGTCTATTTTCAACCATACCAGAAGGGTAAATATAAGAGGAGGTTATGCAAAAGACGTCATTTTATTTGAATCAATGACATGAAAATAAAGAACGCGTATAGTAGAGGATTTTCGATTTAGCGATACCAAAGTCCTTCATTTTTCCTTATGACTAAAACCGTTTCATTAGGCCTTTCTTTGAATTAAACTTTTTGTTTATTTAGTTTTGGGAAAAAAATAGAACTAATTTAGGAGATATGAATAAAGTTAGAAAAATAGAGTTTGAGGGAAATTATCATTTATTTAATAGATTAAAACAGTTTACTATAATAGTCACCCGTGAACTCTCAGTGCTTATGTTTGCGGAATAAAAACATGGCATCAAAGATAATTTTTGTACCTCTAAAAGTGCCGATAATTGAACTTCCAATCCCCCTAAGTGTCGAATTCTTAAAAGAACTTCCTCGTAGTGAATGGAACTTTAGGTTATTTTATTTGGTTTCCATTGCCACCTGCTCATAGGAAGCCTGTAGAAATGATTAAGAAAAGTCCAATCAGTTCTAAACCAAAGCTGGGATCATCCGCCGAGCTTATCGTCACCTTCATGCCATTGCACCAAGCTTTAATTGGCTGACTGCAGGATTGTTCGCCTGTTTTTTATTGACTACTAATACAGCCTTTCGGTTTTTGGTTTAGCGACTGGGTCATTTGAAAATTGCTCTGGTTCAGTTCTCATGCTTTCCTCCGAAATAGACACACTAGCGCTTAATTGTTTGAGAGTTGACTTGGTCATGATGAAAATATAACGCTGCTTCTAAACAGTTTTTTATTGACAATAGTTGGCTATAGGTAATTTATCCATCTTGAAAGATCTCTACTAAAAAGAGATTTTAAATTATAGAAGTCAGACACCTTCCACTAAATTATTTTAATCTATTTTGTTACCTCTATTCAAGATAGCTAAACGATTTTAAAGGTCATTTTGAGTGGTCTCTCGACATTTTACCGAGAAATTCCGACGAATGATAACTATAATGAAAACTGGTCTGTTCCAAGCAGGTAATGACAAGTAACTCTGAGGGGTTTGTTGTTCAGTTATGGTAAGTGTAAAACGGAATAATTACAAGCACGACGATAGTTTTCCTAGTTAAGGATAAATCATGAGTAAGAGATTCTCTTTTCTTAAGAATGGCAGCCGATCCGTATCTTGAGTATCTTGCGTACCACACATTGCGAAATCATTGCTAATGTCGGAGTCGATTTCATCGTTCAAATAGTTTGCGCGTAATGAAAAATGGCGTGTTATAATCAGTAACGATCGTAGTGATTTATTGCGATTTTTAGCCCCAATTCATTTTCTGGAACTGTAAGTGGTTACTTTCTGCTGTGGATTATAAAGACTAAACAAAAGAATATAAACCTCGCATTCCAATTTGCGCCGTTCAAAGAAGCTATTACAGAGTACAAAAACTAAGAGTGCAACCTTCGCTTTTTCCATTCTCGGCCAGAAAAAAAAAAGCGATTCATAAACAGCATTCCAGTGATATTCACTTGGTTTCGTTTCCACTCACAATCTTTTGAAGAACAACCTTCGAAACAAAACTTCATCCTGTCATGTTTGTATTTTTGGGGAGGGTGAGGAGTTGTTGGAAATGAAACAGCAATAAGCCATTTTACAGTTATGAGCTTAGAACTCTAGCCTCTGAGGCTGAGATTCACCTTGTTCTGATACAAACCTCTTTCCTTTTCTTACAAAAATCATGCTAAAAAAAGAATACCAGCTAGCATAAGAACAATATGATTCACATAATAAAGGAGGATAAGGGTTGTATCAAAACAAGGTCAACTTTAGCCTCGTTTGCACCCGTAACTGTAAAATGGACTATTGAGAACAACAACAGCAACAACGAAATAAATATAAAAATAAATAAAAGAAACTTAATATATTCACGGACACCTTTATTTCATTCATTAAATCATAAACATTTTTATGAGTATAAGAAGTATTTTCCTGATTACAGATTCATTGTATAACTGTGATTGTGGCTGGTCCGCAGTGCCAACTTAAGATCGTTTTAAATTGGAACGTGTGCGCGTTATTCTTTTAGTGGCCGCTCATCACAAGTGTATGAGTCACAGCCCATACAGTAGCAAGGCTTGCACACTTTATTTGGCGCTCCACAAGGGTGAGACATGCAAGGATCCGCATAACACTGCGCTTGCCTTGTGCAGTTGGGACAATCTATGTGAAAGAAAAACCAACAAGTAACCAACAAACGAAGAAACCTGCAAAAACGAAATTTTTAAATATCTCATCTCTAACGGTTCACCCTTTTCGTTTGTTGCTAACATCAGTAATCCAGGAATTAACCAGACATCTGATAAAGAATCTACAACCGAAATTAAATCTACAATATACGATTCTGCCATACACTTAAGGGTCACCTGACCCAGTTCGTCGTTGCCTACAACAGCATGGCATACAATCTGTTTTCAAAGTCGACACTACAATTAGATCACACTTGGTGCTGGCTGTGTGAAAAATGTGATTTACACCAAATTTACTCAGTGCAAATTTGGTGCAAAAAAGTGCAAATTACGGTTAAATCAAGCTCTCGAATTTACGACCCCGTGTACACTGGCGTGCAAATGCGGTATTAACCATCGTTGCCCCTTGATTACCCCGTAATTTGCCCTTTTTTGCACCATTTTTGCCCCGAATCCAATTTTTCGTGCAGGTGGAGCAGTTCCCTTTGGGAATGCTGTAAAGTATACATTGCCGGGCAAAACGGGAAGAGGTATGCGTCAACGGATTGCAGAGCACGATAGGGATGTATGGCTTTCACGAACTATTTAGAGTTCCTTGAAGTTTACAGGGGAGTAGCCAAGATGTTTTCAGAGGTACGCACAACTTTCCAAATGCCCCTGCTATATTTTGGCAAGTAGCAGTTACGATCTCTAGACCACAGAGATGTGTTGAGATTTGTTAGTAGGATTTTCAGAAACGTTCAATATATGTTTCAGAAGAAAAAAACATAACTTACAGAAAATTTCCCTTCCTGTGACCTGATTGCATCCAAAATAAAAAGAAAGCAACTGTGTTAGATTCTTCGAAAAAAAAATGTCAAGCGATAAAACTTTTTTTGTACCAAGCCTCCATAAACATCTGGACAGCATTTGAAGTCTTGGAATCAAGAGAAAGTTACACAGAAAGTTTAATTCTAATTAAATTTATGGAAACAAAAGAGAGCGTATTCACTCACGTGGCTAGCATTCAGCAAATTTATGGGAACAAAAGAATTTTTTTACACAAGAAAAGAGTCCAACCCCCACAGGATTTGTTTGAAACACCTATATGGCCGCCGTTTCATTGTTTTCGAACACCAAGATGGCCGCCGTGACGTCATGTGAATACGCTCTATACGTGTGGAATAGCACAACTTGAACGGCAAAAAAGCAAGAACAAACCACAACGAGAAAAACCAAATAATTGAGGTATTTACGATTTTTTTATGTAAGCTAACAGTTAAACACAAAGAGAACGTCGTAAATCATCCAAAATACTAACATTCATCGGAAAGCGCGAACTTACTGATTAATAGCAGAAGCGTATAATCCTAAGAGGGTTATATGTTTCTGTTAAAAGCTGTACCTCCACAAGGTCTTGGGAGAAGATACAAAGTATACTCAGCAAAATCAAGAACTTCATGTCTTTTACCTGTATGAAATAAAATAATATTTTCGAGTAGTTTTAGGCAAAACAAGATCAAACAAGAACACCTTTTAAAAAAAGTTAAGTCTCGCGTGCTTGGAGATTAGCTAAGAAACGAGGAGTCGATTAATTCCACCTTAAAAAAGGATTTGCTAGCTAAAAGTTTTTTACTTTCTACGTTATCGACGATCGAGTATTCTTAACGATATATATAAAAGAATCGCTTGCATTTTTAGAGTCTCGCTGCTATAAAAGCAAGCGAGACTAATTATTTGCTATTACAGTTAACATACAGCAGTTTCAGAACACTTTCTAACCAGTAATCATTCGAACAATAGGGGTGGCGAATGGTACCTCGAAAGACGTGGGTCTCGGAAAATTTTAACAGGATCTCGAAATCTCGGAAGCGTTTTTGATAAGTCTCGAAGTCTCGTTTTTGCATGGTTTGTTTTTACTTTTTTTGAGTCTCGAAACTTTATACCAAAGAGTCTCGGGCTCGGATTTCTAACTAGGGTCTCAGCGTCTCGGCGAGTCTCGGATTTTACCATTCGCCACCCCTGACGATCATATGCTTTTGATTCCTATTGAAAAACTTAAAAATGGGCGTAATTCTTTCAGGAAAGCACGTGAAGCCCACCTTATCCATAAAGCTAAGACATTTGAGCCTCTGGGCATCAATAAACCTGATGAACTGTAACTATATGTAGTATATCTTTTTTTTTTGTTATTTTGTCTTTATAAGTAGCCACACCATACCACGTCATATTATGTAATTTCCTGCCATTATTTTACTTCATATATATTTCTGTAAATTCGTGATATCTCAATAAACCCGACGAAGACTGGTGTTGGCCAGTCGAAATATCGCAACTTAAAGGTCTCGGTAAAGGAAAACGAGGTGTCCACAGAAAAAAATTCTAGTCGCGCGAGTATTTTCGCTACAAAGGCAAGTTATATATCGAATTAAAGCTAAAAGACTAAATTACCTTATAAAAGATTTTATTTCATCGAATTTCAAAAGGGGCTTAAGTTTTTTGTTCTCGAACTCAGAGGTATCGAGTTTACTGCTGAAGCTCCAGCCCTTTCGCGTTGTTAAATATTCACTTCCTTTTTATTGTATCTGATTGACAGATAAAAGACCTAAAAAAGGGTGTGAGGAAATTAGCGGAATTATTGCATTTCAAACTAAAAAGTCGAATCTCGAGCGCGATTTACGCAAAAAAACTGACATAAAATGAGTTACAAAGGAAAATCGGAAAATTCCTCACACCCTTTTTGAGTCTATATCATTATCCATCATATTTGAAAGTTTCAAAGCGATAGCTTAAAACCTGTCCCGACTGGAGGTCGGAGAATTTTGATTTTTGCGTCTAAAATAGAGTGAGAGAAAATCAGCTCTAAAGATTTAGCGCGAAGTCCACGCTTAGCTGGTTAGCTCAGAAAAGGCTCATTTTAGAAGGGTTAAAAAGCACTTTCTGATTTTCTTTTTCTGCCAAAATAAAATTTAGGACCCACTCATGCCAAAAATCCAAAAAAAACAAAATCGAGCAAAGTACTAAAATTTTCATTTACCGAGTGAGACCTTAACTCTATTTCACGTTGTTTGATCAGTCCTTGCAAAAGTCTTCTTGACTGTAACGTTTTCAATTTGATCTATTTTGACTGATCACGATCTTTTTGGATCCGACGTTGAGCAAGATTGATCGTACACAGTTTTTGCAGTGGTTTTGTTTTTATCTTAACTAAACATTCAACATCATATATGATAATGTAATTTACCGTCTTTTGAAAGCCTCACCCAATCGTAGTTACCTGCCGATAGCTTATGAAGAGTCTCGACAAAACTTTATGTCTTCTTATTTTAAGTAATCGTTGTTTAATGTAAATTAAAAATTGAAGGTGGATATTGCACTTCGATGCAGCTGAAATCACTCGGAAAAGTTAAAATATTGTCTTACCTTTAATTAACTTGAAAGACGATCACATGGAAGTAAAGAAAACAAAACTTGTAGCAATTTACTTGGGATTTGGGTGAAAATCAAACTTGACGAAGTAAGAGAGGTCTGGCATAGCCTACATGTAGCTTGTTTAACTATAGACTGGCCACTGCATACTCAAATTGATCTCAAAACTTTAAAGGAAGGCTCATCGGGCTCAAATTTTTTTAGAGACTCCCTTTCGGATTGAAACTGTTATGCTATTTCACTATTCAGAAGTTTTATTTTATTAGTTTCGTCAGATAATGATGAGCATATGTCAGGGAGGCAAAAACTGTAAACAAAGGTTCGCCTATAGTAGTAGTTCATCTCTGAGCCGCTTTAATTTCATTGCTAGAATTTTTAATCCACCATCTTAATTAAGGATTTAATAAAGTCTTTCAATATCAAGATCTTGCGAGAGAAGTTCGAAAAATGTGGGATGTGGAAGCAAAGGTGATTCTGGTGGTAATGGGGGCATTAGGATCTGTACCAATGAATCTGAAAAAAAAAAATTGAGGTTATTGATGTTGAAATCCCTGTGAAACTGATCCAGAAATGTGCAATGTTGGGGCCAGCAAAAAACTTTTAAGGAAGGTGCTCGAAATATTAAGGAGAGGAAATCAAACAAACAGTATTCCTTGGCTACCCTAGGCAACTCTTCGTTACCCGAAGCCAGAGAAGAACCGAAGAAACCAGCTAATCCTTTTAGGCCTCATAGCCTGTACGCTTTGCACCCTACGTTGTTGACAGTTTGCATTATTACGTTTGATACTTCATAATGATAAATATAATAAAATAAACTAGTCTTCTGTAGATCAGTCAGAAGACCGGAGGCTGTTGGATTCGTGTCCCAAGGAAATTCAAAGATTTGTTTTGAATTCTTTGTCTCGCGTGGTCCCCTGATTGCGATTGGCAGGATTAACGCTAAGTGGGATTTATGGGTCATCTCCATATAGCTCTATTTACCCTTTTCTCTGTTCCATTCTTTTGCTGCATTAAGTGCTACGAGGAAAAACATTTTAATGTACCCTTAAAGATAAAATTATTTATTCCATGTTCCTTAAGCACCATGATCACATTTTAAGGTATGCTTTGATTCAAATTCTATAGGGAAATGAACGCGTTCGTAGAAACTACTTTCCGATAATTCGTCATCATTGTTACACTTGCATGCCATTATTCACTCTCGTTTTTATCGTTTTAAAACGGCCAGTTTCTCCAGTTGTTCAAACGCCCACCCCACCAAATTAATACTAAAAAACCAGTTTAAGAAGCCAGTACATAATCTGCTACTTGAAAAGTTAAAATTTTCATTAAAGGATGAACCCCTCCTCCTCACCAGTTCGATGGACTTTGTGTTGGTTTCAGTTCTTCGATCTTGGGAAATCACACCCAGGTAGCAGTTACTTGCTAATAGCTTAGAAGCCTTAAAACCAATAATTACACTTTAACTTATTTCCACTAATTTTCGCAAATTGTTTGTTTACGTAGAAATTTTCTCCTCCAGCTGCATTTGGAAAACCAATGCTTGCAGCTGCTAAAATCACATGGAAAAGTCAACAATTTATCCTTGCATTAAACTTCCAGTCGAATTTTTAAAAACTCGAACCAAATTTTCTTTGCTTTATATACTAACTATTCTATTGTAATTTTGAACCTTAATTGTGACGAAGAAGCAGTTAAAACAGAAACAGTTTTCGGCACGAACTACAGGGTGTTTCAAAAGTTCGTTCCGATTGTAAATTGTATTTTGCGCAAAGCATTTAATGCTTTTTTAGGCAAATGTAAACGATTCAGATAAGAAATATATTTAAATAACCGTTATTAGCAATTTCAAACTAAAATTTGAAGAAATTATAATTTTTTTTTTAATTTTTGCCCCAACTGTACACGTACGCGAGGTTTTTCCCGCCATACTTTTCCTGCCCATTTTGTTGGTTTTCTATTTTGGTATTTTCATCGTTTTCTTCATTTTCTCTACTCCTTTATGAAAAGGAAGGCCTACACTGTTTGTGCTAGAGCTCAGGCATCTATTTTTATGGTCTTCTGGCCATTCAGTCCAAAACAAAAGTGAAATTGTTGAAGAAGTCTGAACGATGACCGAACAAGTGGTCAAAAAGCTGTAAGTATATGCTTAAAGTGCTACTACGACGAAAATTTTTGTTTTTGTTTCCAAGTTTTTTTAACATAAATCTTTTGTATATGTTCAAATTTATACAAATAGCGAAAAATTGGAACGATACTTGCGTACGGGGGCTGGAAATTTCTCACTGAAAAGTGCGTAAATACCGTCCGCCATTACAAAGTTCGCAAAGCAATAGCCCGCGAGATCTCCGCAAAGCGGTCGTGCGTTTAACCACGTGATTTATGCACTGTGACGTAGAAACATCAACTAAAAGATTCGCATTTGGGAAAAGTTTGTGAGTTTAGAGCCTTTTAACGAGACGTTTAAGATGTCATCTCCGTCGGATTCCTCTTCCTGCACATCTGAAAGTGATCTAGAAAGTTTTACAGTTGACGAAGTGATTGGGGAATTGTCTGAATTGCGCCGTACAACGACAGTTGCGAACCCCTTGCCACCGAGGAAGAAGCCGCGGACTACAACGAAAGAGTTCATCGCGAAGAAGAAGAGGAACAACAGTTTCAACGAAGATATTCGGGAGAGGTGCCAGCGAATGAATGGTATGGTATTATCATGGAATGTAGATTTATATTTTTATTTTCCAATTTCAACATACCCGTCGTTAAATCGTGTGCGTGACGAACGCGACTGTGTGTTTTGTTTAAGTTCGTTGCTATGTGATTAGCTGTAGTCCTGATTTTATGCGATAGTGTTATTGAAGAGGTCAGACAATTAATAATTTTATACAGACGTATTTTTCTTGTGTTTGACGAATTTTTCACATTATTTTGCAGGTGTTCGTGCTCGAACTGCTCTGTCAGCCTTGTTACAAAAGCGCAGGAGTGCATTTGCTGCAAAGAGATCGATCGCTGCGAAGAGGTCATGGAAGAAGCCATTGGAGACCGGACCGTATGCATAACCCTCCATCCAGGGTTTGAACGCGTCTGTTTAAACCGCCACGTATTAGAAGTGGCTGCACTGGGCCTAAAAACGCGAGCTGGAAAGTCGTACACAACTGTTCGTGGGCAAAGCAACAAAAGTGATGATGAGTAAATTGGGGTATTGTTGACTTTGTATTGGAACGATCGAACCTTACATAGCATTGAATAATTGATACATCTAAGCTTATCGCCGTGGACTGATCTCATAGAATCACATTTTTTATTTTCTAAATGGCTTTATTGCCCCAACTGCTTATTCTTAAAAGGAGTATTTATTTATCTCCATCCAATCCCTCCTTGAATTAACAGTGATCTCATTTCTCTAACTAGATTCCTGAGGTCTGTGGCCTATCGCCAATTTACAAGACTGCTGTGGAGTTATATTGGTAGTTCTAGGCGATACCCCTTACCCTGCTGTGCCTACAATAAAATCAGGAAACAATTTCCGAGTCAAAATGGCCATTATCGTGGATTCGAAGATGAAGAAAATGAATAATAAATGCACTGTTTGTTCTTGAAGAGTGTCATGTATGCCATTGGGGCCAAGAAGGACCTACAGTAGTTGCTTGAATACTTGTCCATAAGCACTTAATTTTATGGGCCAAACTTCAGAATTCTCAGCCACTTACTCGCTTTTTGTTGAATGACAAACTTGCCCACTGTGTGAAGCCCTGTTCTTCTAGCGTTCAGTTAAACTCAAGTTTAGTGGCTGGGAATTCTGATGTTGTTCCAATTTTCATGTACACAAGTAATAAAAATTAAATCGAATTCAGCCTGAATTTAATTACAGTTTTAATGTATCATTTCTTTCTTTTCTCTCGGCTTACAGAGCACTGCAAAACTTAATAGCAGGTTACCTGCTGGAAACTTTCCTAGCAGGTCTGGTTGACTCTTCCAGACTTTTGTCTGGCTACAGTTTCTGCAGAAACTTTCTATGGTTAACAAGGTACAGAAAGTTTGGGTTTTGAAAAGAAGCACAAGTGGCAGAACTGAAACAAAAGAAGAAGTTTGGAAAGGAAAACAATTCCCTTCGGTTCCTCTCGAATGTTTTTTCCTTGTAGATCCAACCTGTAAAAAATGATTGAAAGGAAATACTCATTTAATCATAGCATCTGAAATAATAAAATAACAATAAAAAAAATGATTATCATTTTTATTTTTTTTCTCAGGGTGTTGCCAGTTTTTCAACTTGTTGTAAACCTGGCTAATTGTGGGTTGGGATTTTATTCTCACATACATCCTGAAAAATGCTTTTTTATAATAATACTGTTGATTGCACACATGACAACTTTGAGCCCTTAAGCTATCTAGCCCACCCCAACGATGATAATTTATTACAAGTGGTTGAGTGGACAAACCAAACATTTTTAGGCCTGGGACTTCCAGTCTATGGGCTGGTTATGCCTCTTCTTCTTTTTTTTTTTTTTTTGCAATTCTTATCTGAGTAAATTAAAAAACAAATTTCATGTACTCTTGTTTCTAAATAGAACCTCTCATAATGGAAGTTAGTTTTAGGCCTAAATCACTTCCCAGAGGATACTTAGAGCTAAGATGTTAAAATGCAATAAATTTTGCATCTTTGTACCTTGGGTTCTGATGAGTCTTCACCGAGTCATCATCTTCCTTTAGTTTTTTATATGCATCTTCGATTTCTTCAGGACTCCATGTAGGGTCTTCATCACACTCAAACTCCTCATACGCGTCGTCCTGCATTTCCTGCTCATCTTCTGATTCATCCTCTAGCCCTAACTCTGTCTCATTTGTTACTGGCCATGGATCAGTTTGAATAGCTTAAACAAATGGAATTAAAAAAATTCTGTCACCATTAAAATTTTAATTATTATGAAATAATCAAATATTGATAAAATATAATAAAAATATAAAGATAGGCAGTTATGCCTATATGACTCATCAACATCAATTATTGTTGACTCACCAGCATTCACCATCAGCAACTGCTTCGGCTCTTGTATGCTCTTAAAGGTTTCAACCCACTGATCTTGATTGGAGATTAACTTACTCTTCAGTCTTGTGACTTTGCCCCTTAACTGAGTCACCTCACTCTTCACGGTTTTGCATGTTGCACAATTCCCAGCATGTCCAGTTGGAGTATCCTACAAAAAACAAACTTTCAACATTAATACAGGCTGTAATAACAAGACTTTAGAATTTTTGTGTTTTAGTATTATTGTAAAATAACTGCACATGTAGTTTTCCATTGTTATGATAATACAAAGATGCAAATAAACATTAATTAGAGTTATGCGCCTACCATAGAAACCTGTTCAAGTTCAGGAATCGTTAATGATTCATCAATCTGCATAACTTCATCCATATCCTGCACTTTTTCGATTCCCTGAGCCTCCAGGATCTGCATGGTCTCAGTAACCTCATCAGTGCCTGAAATCCCTTGGCTCTCGAGAGCTGTCTTATCACCAGGAGTACCTACGACCTCTGAAGCCATCTCAGCATCAACACTTATCTCAGCCGTCTCAGTCTCAGGGATGCAGCCCTCCTTTTCAGGATTTACCTCAAGCAAAGAACCCTGACTTGTATTCAGAACACCCTCGACTTCTGGAGACTCCTCAGGGTTGAGATTGGGAGCCCCCATAGTGTCAGCACTCTCCTCAGGTGCAGAACTTCCTTTCAAGAGATCACCTCTTCTTCAGGATTGTCTTCTTCCTCTGTATCCTCATTAGTAGTTTGACCAGCCAGAATTTCATTTAGTAGCTAAAAATGAAAATAGGTACGACCATTTTTTATATCTCCCCTTCAAAACAAGTTTAAATTTGAGCTTTATGTCGATGTTTTCAAAACCAGAAGTGGAAGCAAGGTTTAACCACATCTTTGCCTTAAAATGTATGCATCATTTGCAGACAGTTAAAATAGAATTAAAATACAAACAAAAAAAAAAACCCGCTAACAGTAACTGAACTCATAGAATGTAGAAATCAGACTAAGTCCATTTTTGGTCGTTTTAAAAGACTCGCGTGTAACTCTTAATTTGCTGTAATATTTCTTGGAGGGAAGTTTGGAGTACTGTCAAATCTCAAAGTAACAGCAAGCTAATCTCTCAAAAAATAGAGAGCCGGATTTCTATGTAGCTTCACTTTTTCTAAATTTTACGCTTGAGTGGAAAGGTCTGGGAATTGGGGAATTGACTTCACGTCCACTCAGCGCAAATGCAGGTTTTACTATAACTATGAGAAGAAAGCAGAAAAGTATGAAAACAAATGCAACAATATGGAAAGTCCAAATAGTGAGAGCATTCATTACACGAATATTGAACAACGATGCCAGAAAAAATCATGTCACAGGTAAAAGGGGAAATAAACATAATGGTGATAAGGACAAAGCAAATACATTGTAATTTCACTCACCGATCGTCGACTCCGCTTTGATAGTGTTTGAGAGGATTTTTTCCCAATGGTTGGAAACGTCCCCTTCTTCAAATTCCTTTTCATGTCTTTCATCGGAAAAGCAAGCGTAAAACAATCCCTTGTAAAATGCTCCGATCACACAGCAAATCTTCCCACTGGGTTGAAATCCTTCCGATGAATGGACACGAACCTTTTCCACTTTAATCTAACGCTGCCCGAATCAGGAGAATTATGAATAGAAATCCCCAATTCATCGTTCTTTACGTTTCCACAGTCAACAAAAAAGCGAAGAAAGAACCTCCAAAAGCTTCCAAAGATATCTCGTCCTGCATGCGAAATTAGCCATGTTTGTTTGCCTTGTTTTACCTCGTTGATGTTTCTACGTCACATCTCGCCCCAACTCCTTCAAATACCACTCCCGGTCATTTTTTGAATCGAGTAATGGCGGCAAGACATTTACGAAAATTGCCGTGCAAATAAACACACTTCCAGATCATATTTGGACTCCAAACTTGGCACGGTAAGTCACTTTTACATACATTTTCGAAATATGTAATCAAAAACAAATTCCCAAATTTGATCGTAGTAGCACTTTAATAATTCCTCAAAACGGAGAGGTAAAAAAATTTCAACTTCACATTATCGATCAAAGTTTCGAGCACAACGGTAAGGGGATAAGTTACCAAAAAAAGTTGGAAAGCCTTGAAGAGGAAAAGCTGGTGCACATTTCATGCAAGCATGGTGTCAGAAGGATTTGCCAACTTTATACCAAAGGAGGACCAGCCGGCAAACTCATGTGATGTGAACCCCCTAGAGACCATCTGGATTATCGTAGACGAGACAACATACAAAGATCCAGCCCCCAAAACCAAAACACTGGACGAGCTAAGACTGTGACTACGCTTCGGCTGGAAGAATGTGACTTTGGACACGCCTTGGGAGCTCGTACATTTTATACCTCACCGCTTAGAAAATGTCAGAAAACATACAGGAAGACATTCTGGTGACTAATATTTTAGTTATTCAATGTTAAATAAACAGTGAATAATATACTAAGTTTTACAAAGGTTTTTTTTTAATAATTAGTGAAATTTAAGCGAATGAAAAATCGGAACAAACTTTTTAAACACCCTGTAGATGCCATAGTTAATGGAGGGAAACTACTTACTAAATTATCAAAAACATGAAAATACGGTCAAACCACCAGTAAGCGACCACCAAAAATGCAAAGATTTACAGGCCACCTCGTCCCCAGGGCCCTTCTCCCTGGCTTTGGAAAAGTCTGGGAAAAGCACCCTGGGGACGAGGTTGATTTACCGGAGGCGGTCAGTTACGAGAATCGAACCACAGGGGTTTCTTCCGAGAAGAAATCCGGGTTAATATACTTTATAGTGCATCATTTTCTGTATTCCCATATATTTGTAGTTCCCTGTTATCAATAAACGTTTGTGAGCAGCATTGCACATGCATCGAAAATAGATATCAGACCATCCATTGAGTGATTGGTTACAGGAGGTTGAAAACGCAATTGAAAATTATGAAGCCGTCATCCCCATAAGTGGTCGACTGCGGTGGCTTACCGGTTCCATATCTTTACCTCAGTTTGTTTTAGCCAACAGCCATCTATCCACAACGGCAACTGTAACTTAAGTGCCGAGTCCCTCCACAAGGGCCATTTAAGGAGGGGAGGGACTGGTTGTTTTTTGGGGTGGCGGGAAAGGGCGGGGGGAGTGGGAAATGGGCTTGATTTGAGAATTAAGGAAAAAAATTAGAGTGGAGAAAATATACCCATAAACCAGTTTTACGTCCGGTAATGGGTTCAGAGAGCACGAAGCTTTAATTGGCTGACTGCGGGATTGTTCGTCTCTTTTTTTATTGACTACTAATACTGCCTTTCAGTTTTTGGTTTAGCGACTGGGCCGCTCATTTCAAAATTGCTCTGGTTCAGTTCTCATGCTGTCCTCCAAAATAGACACAAGCGCTTGATTGTTTACGAGTTGACTTGGTCATGATGAAAACATAACGCTGCTTAATCTAAACAGTATTTCATTGACAATAGTTGGCCATAGGTAATTTATCCATCTTGAAAAATCTCTAGGTGTCCTACTTCAATAAAGCTCTTTTTCAGTACCACTAAATTATTTTGTCACCTCCATTAAAGATAGTTAAACGATTTACAGGCCATTTTGAGTGGTTTCTCGACATTTTACCAAGAAATTCCGATGAATGAAAACTATAAATAACTGGTCTGTTTTAAGCAGGTAATGACAAGTAACTCTAACGGGTTTGTTGTTCAGTTATGGTAAGCGTAAAACTGAATAATCACAAACACAATATCTGATGAGCGACGATAGTTTTCTTAGTTAAAGATAAATCATGAGAAAGAGATTCTTTTTTCTCAAAGAAAGGCAGCGGATCAGTATCTTGAGTATCTTACGCACCACACATGGATGGCGACATCATTGCTAACGTCGGAGTCGATAAGTTTGCGCGTAATGAAAAATGGCGCGTTATAATCAGTAGTGATTGTAGTGATTTATTGCAATTTCTAGCCTCAATTCATTTTCTGTAACTGTAAGTGGCTACTTTCTGCTATGGATTATAAAGGCTAAAAAAGAGAGTATAAACCTCGCATTCCAATTTGCGTCGTTCAAAGAAGCTATTACAGAGTACAAAAACTAAGAGTGCAACCTTCGCTTTTTCCATTCTCGGCGAGAAAAATTAGCGATTCATAAACAACATTCCAGTGATATTCACTTGGTTTCGTTTCAACTCACAATCTTTTGAACAACAACCTTCAAAACAAAATTTCATCCTCTCATGTTTGTATTTTGGAGGAGGGTGAAGAGTTGTTGGAAATGAAACAGCAATAAACCATTTTACACTTACGAGCTTAGAACCCTAGCCTCTGAGTGAAAGTGAGGCTGAGATTGACCTTGTTCTGATACAAACCTCTTGCCTTTTCTTATGAAAATCATGCTAAAAAAAGGATACCAGTTAGCATAAGAACAATATGATTTGCATAATAAAGGAGGATAAGGGTTGTATCAAAATGAGGTCAACTTCAGCCTCGTTTGCACCCGCAACTGTAAAATGGACTATTGAAAACAACAACAGCAACAACGAAATAAATATATAAATAAATAAAGGAAACTTAATATATTCACGGACATCCTTATTTCATTCATTAAATCATAAACATTTTTATGGGTATAAGAAATATTTTACTGATTACAGATTCATTGTATAACTGTGATTATCACTGGTCCGCAGTGCCAAAAAAGCACGCGTGTGCGTTATCCTTTTAGTACTTAGTTAGTAGCTGCTCACAAGTGTAGTCACACCCAAAACAGTAACAAGGCTTGCACACTGTATTCGGCCCTCTACAACGGTAAGACACGCAAGGAGGATCCGCAAAACACTGCACTTGCCACTTTGAGCATATGGGACAATCTATGTGAAAGAAAAACCAACAAGTAACCAACAAACGATCAAACCTGCAAAAGCGAAATTTCTAAATATCTTATACCCTTATTCGTTTGTTGCTAACATCAGTAATCCAGGAACTAGATATCTCATTAAGGTCCTACGACCAAAATAAAATGTACAATCTACGATTCTGCCTTACATTTAAGGGTCACGTGAAGCAGTTCGTCGTTGCCTACAATAGCCAGTGGCATACGATCTGTTTTCAAGTTCGACAACACAATTAGATCACAGTTAGTGCGACGTAAAAATGCTGGCTGTGTGAAAAATTTGATTTACACCAAATTTACTCAGTGCAAATTTGGTGCAAAAAAGTGTAAATTACGGTTAAATCAAGCTCTCGAACTTACAACCTCATGTACACTAGCATGCAAATGGGGTATTTACCATCTTTGCCCTTGATTTTCCCCTAATTTGCACTTTTTTGCACGAATCCAACTTCTCGTGCAGGTGGAGCAGTTTGTAAGATTCTTTGGAAATAAGGTAAAGCATAATTGGCAAAACGGAAAGAGGTATGCATGAACGGATTACAGAGCAAGATAGGGATGTATGGCTTTCGCGAACTATTTAGAGTTCCTTGAAGTTTACAGGGGCGTAGCCAAGATTTTTTCAGAGGTACGCACGATTTTCCAATGCCCCTGCTATTTTCGCAAGTGGCAGTTACGATCTCTAGACCACAGAGATGTGTTGAGATTTGTTAGTAGGATTTTCAGAATGTTCAATTTATGTTTCAGAAGACAAACAA